GTGTCTGATAACCTTAGATTTTTGGCAGCTTACACAGGAGCGTGCCCACTCCCTCACGTCTTTATTCATGCCAGGCCAGCAAAATCGTTCTGCTATAAGCTTGATGGTTGCACGAACACCTGGATGAGAAAGTTTGTGCAATGTGTTGAAGACATTGCGTCGATAATGTTTCGGCACGATTGGGCGATCCCTACCTGTAGATGTGTCACAAAGTAAGGTTTCCTTACCTGTTCCCATCTGTTTGATGCGTAGTTTAAGTGTTGTGGACGATAACTCGTGCTGAAGATCACTGTCTTCTTTTTGAAGCTCGGCGAGTTTAAGAAGGTCGATTCCTTGGAAACTGTTCAAGGAAGTTATACGAGATAAAGCGTCTGCAACTACATTGTTTGCTCCAGAGATGTGTTGAATATCTGAAGTAAACTGCGAAATGTAGTCCAGTTGTCGAGACTCACGGGGAGAGTACTTGTCAGAAGGAGAGCTTAACGAGAAAGTGAGCGGTTTATGGTCCGTGAAAAGAGTGAATTCACGGCCTTCGATATAGTGTTGGAAATGCCGTACAGCACAATACATAGCTAGGAGTTCCCTACCGAATGTGCTGTACCTCGATTCGGTGTCTAGCAACCTTCTAGAGAAAAATGCCAAGGGTTGCCAGGAGTTGTTAACCCATTGTTGTAAGACTCCTCCGATTGCTGAGTCGGATGCGTCTACTGCGATGCTAATGGGTGCTCGGGTGTCCTGATGTGCGAGCATTGTTGCTTTAGCAATCAGTTCCTTGACTGTGGAGAATGCTTTTCGTGCGGTGTCGTCCAAATTAATGGATTTCGCATTTCCACGAAGTTGGTCGGTCAGAGGTTTCATAAGTGATGCGCATCTGGGTATGAAACGTCTATAGAAACTTACCAGGCCGTTGAACGTGCGTAATTGCTTGACGGTGGTCGGTTCTGGGTAATCCAGAATGGCCGCCACTTTGGTTCTAAGGGGTCGGATACCTTGAGCATCGATAGTGTGTCCCAGAAAGTCTAACGAGTCGGTTCCAAATTGGCATTTCTGAACGTTTACAGTTATGCCATGTTTTTGTAATCGTTCGAAAACAAGGTCCAGATGCTTGAGATGTGTTTCTCTGTCCGGACTTGCGATTAGACAGTCGTCAACATACGCGTGTACGAAGTTGAGACCTCGAAAAACGTCGTCTATGAATCTTTGGAATGTTTGAGCAGCATTCCTTAGACCGAAAGGCATTCGCAAAAATTCATAGAGTCCGAAGGGAGTTATGATAGCCGTTTTCGGTATGTCGTCAGTAGCCATAGGGATTTGGTTATACGCTTTAACCAAGTCGATTTTCGAAAAGACAGTTGTACCTTTCAAGGTAGCTGTCAAATCGTGAATGTGAGGCAACGGGTAACGATCGGGAATGGTTTTCGCGTTCAATCGCCGATAGTCACCAGTTGGACGCCAATCGTTGCTGTCCTTTTTAGGGACCATGTGCAACGGAGATGCATATGGGCTACTTGACGGTCGTATGATTCCTAAGTCCATCATGTGATCGAATTCGTTTTTCGCTAACCTTAGCTTTTCAGGAGCTAGTCGTCGTGCTTTAGAAAATACAGGTGGTCCTGTAGTCGTGATGTGATGTGTAACATTGCTGGTTACACACGGTAGTTTCGTTTGCGTTTGTTGTATCCCAGGGTACTTATCGAGTAGTGGTTGATAGAGTGGGTCTATCATATGTTTAACTGTGACTGGGGATACTCTACAACCAGTAAAAGAAGTTACGCAAACGGACAAATTAGTGTTTCCGTCTACTAGCCTCCGTTTGCGAGTGTCGATGATCAGATTGTGGTGTTGTAGAAGGTCCATACCAATGATTGGCATAGAAACATCTGCAACGACGAAAATCCAGTGGATGGGTTTGCGTAAACCCACGTTAAGGTAAACGTACCTTTTGCCATACGTAGCGATCGGTTTTCCGTTTGCCGCCTGTAAGTTTAGGGTCGATTCGTGAAGTCGGTCGTTAGGATTTGCTGGGAGAACGCTAACTTCTGCGCCAGTGTCGACGAGGTAGCGAACTCTCGTTGTCACATCTGTGACGAATAACAGACGGCTTTGTTCGCCGGCTACGGTTGCCGTTAACGCGTGCCGGCTTGGAAGTTTCCCGAATCAGTCGGTTTCGTGTTGGGAAAATTGCAGGGTTTTCTGCAATTTCTGGAAAACTTTCCATACTGGTTATGATACCAGCACCAGTCGGGGTTATCTGTCTCTCGTGGTCTAGAGACAGATCGCTTACGAGAAATGCTTCTACGTGGTGTGCGCGATCTCTTACGGTCGGTACGAAGACTAAGATAACGCGTGAGTGTGTGACATAAGTCGGTTATGTCATTCTGAGTCGTGTGAGGCTTTTCTTTGACTGAAAATACCTCGGTAGTAGAAGGTTTCGTAATTTCTAGAATGCGGTCGGCAGATACAGCTAGTTCGTCTAAGGCGTTGTTCTGGAACGAGACCAGAACTGCTTGCACCTGTTGGGGAAGTTTTGACAAGAAGAGTTGTTTGAATAGACCTTCGTCGAAAGTTCTTGGGCCTATAACCTCTCTCATCCGTTGCAACATGTCCGTCGCAGAACCGTGTTGCAGGTCGATATTGTTGAAGAGTTGATCTAACCTTTGTCGATCGGTTAGGTCTCCTCGTTTAAGAATCGAGCGTTTTAAGATTTCGTAAGGATCGGAAACATCACTAGTAAACATACTAGGTGTTACGTACCTGTTGAATTCCCGCGGCAGTGCCTTGACTACTGCGAGGAATTGTGCACGTGTGTCGATCACGCCGTGCTCGGAAAAGTCGGCTTCTGCGTAGCAAAACCAGGCTTCGATGTTGTCGGGCCAGAAAGGCATCAGTTGAAACGAAGGTGGGGACAAGGTCTTAAGCTTGAGTACTTTAGGTGTCTGTTCAGTCATGATGAAATATGAAGTACGATAATGAACGAGGGGAAAATATATATATATATCCAAGAAAAACACGAAAAAAAATCACAATGTTTAAAAAAAATAAAAAATAAGGCAATGATATATAAAAATCCCAAAAAGGAACAGACTCACAGTTGCAATAAGGTGTACCAGATCACGACGGTCTCACCAATGATGATGTCACAGGTATTCAGTGTTTGACAACGCTTCTACCAGTAACACCTTCTAATATGTTTCGTTCCCACCAAGAGAAATCAAAAGACAGAGTCGAGGAGATCGGAAGAGTATATTTGGCGATGACCAATATACCGGGATTCTCTGATCTAATCTGGCTAGCGATTGTGGTTGATGTTGAGCACGGCGTTACTACACGTGATCTGGTGCGGATGCCTGACCGAGCGCCTTCAGCTAGATGAGTCCACTAAAACATATGGTCAGCATCCAATGTCGAAAACTTACAGTGCTATTTATTTTGGGGATTTATTTACCGCTACACCACTATCCGTCTTTGCTTATATAAGCCCGGTGTGCTTCAAAGGAAATTTAAGAACTTAGAAGGCAATATTTTGTATATTAAGACCTAGTGATGTTACTGATATTTAGTGCCTGACAACGCTTTTCTGCGTTATGGCTTTATAATCAAAGGATATTAAACCTAGTCTGAGTATTGCTACTTTCATAACGGCTTTAATACGTTTCTTTCAGAGGAGAGGATTTAACTTTGTTGGAGCAATGTCTTAGCTGCGAAACAGTACGGGCGTGTGGGACAAGGCTAGAATATTCTTCTCAATTACACAGAACCTGATTTATTATTATTCCATTATTATTACTTTTTTTCAGATATGGCAAATAAAATGCTAATATTATTGAAGCTTGTGTATTATCGCATTTTGAAAAAACCCGAAATGGTTTCTTCACAACACTTATGTACCCATAAGATGTTTGTGAATAACAATAATAATAAACGAACTCACGACATTGGCATTTCGACCCCCCACTAACTAGCCATCAATATGAAGTTTGAGAGGATTGATACAGTCTGTCTGGAGGATCTCGCTAGCAATTTCCAACGAACATGTCTTACACGGCGACAGCTAAGTGGTTTTTTTTGTATGAATGAAAAGAATATTGAATAACCTCCTTGTCGTTCCTGTGACAAAGAATGAAATGGATGATTTAGCGTTTACGCTCCTAGATTTTAGCTAAGATATTAGCCAACCTAATCACTAAACTGAACTAGCATACATGAAGACCTTTGGAGCCAATCCATCTTGACCAGCTTCTCTTTCTTGTTTCAGATTAGCTATAGCCATTTGATCTTCAATTAGGTTCGGGGACCTACTTCAATGTTCCATTTTGGCCCTTTGACAATGGTGGGTGGTCGTCAAGTAGCTGATGGTCAGCTGAACTATTCCTTAAAGTGTCCCGCCCATCGCTCTAAACGCCTGAGCTGAAAGTACCGTCTTTTTCCGAGATCATCTCACTTACAATTGACTTCTTAATCCCGGTTTCTTCTATTAGTCTTTAAAGCTGTTTGGTGTTATCTACAGCCACTGCCTTTACTATGCCAGGAAAGCAATAACATAGGCCATAAGCCTTCCATCGTTACCACACAAATCTGAATCATCAACAAATGCAATTTACTAAATCAACACGTGGTTAGAGCTACATATTTCGACGCTTTCAAAAGGAAAATGGATCAACTGATTGACAACAATTGCCATGACTAGCATACACCACCTAGTATCTTGTCCTTTCTAAAATGGAACTGACAAGATTATCAATTCTATGTTCATGGGTTTAGCTAGGCAAACGTATTTCACGGAAATTGATGGGAAAGAAATCGTAAATAATTGAATTTTTAATCAAGGAGTGGGATTCAATCCTTCTTTCTACTTCATCACACTTGTGTTTAATAATATCAATTAGCAGCTAAGTTTGTTCTATTTTCAGATTCACTCTAGGATCAGCTGTTGCGGTGTTTTCGAATCAGTTGCGCTCAAATGACAGATGAGGCGATATTCTGGTGTTTCTGTGTAAATTATGAATAAGACTCTGTGTGGTAGGTCATCTAACGAGCGACTCCATATTTTTGCGTCAGGTTTTTCCAGTATGTAAAACGTAACACTTGTTTTCGGCAGCTGCCCTTGAGGTTATAACCTTATAAGTTAATTAGCTTCACTTCAGTCATATGGTAACTTATGAATAAAACGTCTGAATCAATACGTAATCTTTAATAAAGTCCTTTCATCATTTAAAGAACAATGGCTTGTCATGCTTGGAGGTATGTTGTATATGATTGGATGTGAGTCACTATTTTCGTGCTAAGAATACGAAGTTTCGGAGACCAAAAATAGACCGAATAAACCCGTTCAACATTGACTGATGCCGATGTTTCTTACTTTAACAATGAGAGCCACTAACCTTAAGTATCACGTCATCTTTGGTAGTAATTCATACGGAGCAACGAAAATATACGTAACAATATTGTATAACGAAGGAAGATAATGATATACTAATGTTTCTGGGGTAATAAACTTTAAATTCCCGAAGGTAGCACTTTTTGTAGTTATTCAATAAGCTGATAATATGGATTAACGTATATGATAAATATATAGTGATTTTTATATATTTGTTTTGGTTCTCATTGCACAATTAGTAATATGACTGTGACACTGCCACCCATGGTTTTAATAAAAATCAGAGCCGGTTTTCTGTTTCTGGTAGACCATGGTGCTTAAGTACGTGTCAACGTAGTAGCTTGATGCATATATTCATATTCCAGTGAGCGAAACCCCTCTTTACGATGAGTTTCAAGGTGCCACAGGTATTGTGAGTTTAACGCCTTTACACATTACACCTTTTAATCGGAGTATACCAACCCAGTGGAATCAGGAGTCAGAAATAAAAGGGTTCAAATATATATTAGGAAGGCTATCGATATGTCGAGAAACGTTTAGTCTAAGCTGGATAACAGTTGCAAGGAGTGCGTAGCATGGCGTACCCACTCGTGATCTGGTGCGGATATGTGATCGAGCACCTTCAGCCAGGTGTGTCCAGCAAAACTGACGAGGTCAGCACCAGTGTTGAAGGCTTACAGAACTACTTATTTTGGGGATTTATTTATCGCTGCAAATGATCTGTTTGTCAATCTCGTCCTTTCATATTGGCGTACATAATACTTATTGTAAATGAGTTGATGCTCATTTAATCATGGCTTTCCTTCCCCGGAAGTCAGCTTTTATCTATAATTTTATTCACAAGGCATTTCGACCATGCACATCAAATTTTTTGAGTGTGTCTTTATTTGTCATAATTTAATATTGTTTGGCTTTAATTGTTACTTATCAAAGTCTTGCAATGGAAAATAATGCAGTCAGTCAGCTACAGCGTAGGACCAGGCACGTTTGTGCATCGGTCCAAGTTGCCATACCTCATTATCAGAGCAGGATGAACACCGGATTCATGATAGTTAATTCAACGGTAATATATAAAAGAAAGATAGCATATAAGGACATAGTATAGGAAGAAAGAATTAGTTCGTGGAAAGAAGGATATGAATCAGTTTTAATCTCATAGTTTAAGGGAAGACAAAGAGTGTATACACTTACACCATTGTGGTCGATTCCGAGCCATGTCACACAGAGTCTTCAACCATTGGTTTCGATAGTTACGTGGACCCTAACCAAGTAGTCTGCACCTAACAACATGGCCCACACTTGACGTTAGTGACTTCAAGCACTGATGCCACGTTTTGGTTTGGCCGCCCCTAACTTTCGTTCAACTATCTCCAACACCGGTTAGCATTGCACATCGTGGTAATCGGTGTTCAGGCATAAACAACACGTGGCCCAACCATCTCAGTTGATGAAGATTCACAACCTCACCAACTGATTTTCCATCATTCCTTAATACCCTGCATCTAACGTCACCAATACTTACCTGGTGATCCCAGCAGATGCGAGCAATATTTATAAGGCATCTGTGGTCAAATACTAGTAGCTTACCAATATCTTCTACTCTTAATGCCCACGTTTCGCAGCCGTAAAGTAAAACAGAATGAACTGCCACGCAGTATACTCGTTTTTTTATTGATAGACGAATATCTCGCTTTCTCTATAGGTGATGTAAGTTGGCAAAAGCCAAACGAGGTTTTTGGATGTGTACAGAGATTTCGTCAGACACCAACCCATTAGGGGTGATCAGACTTCCAAGGTAAGCGAAGTTGTCGACGCTTTCGACTACTTCACTCCTTATAATTAGTTCAGGCCAGTCCTGATGCAACAACTTGCATTTAGGGGGGAGAAGCACATCCCAAACACTCTGGCATTGTTGTTCAGTGGTACCAAAAGACTCTGCATTTTATCAACGTCTTCACCAAACAGGACTATATCATCTGTGTATTGTGAGTCGATAAGTGGACCTCTTGAAAATATATCAATTCCTGAAAATTCAGTCGACGGGGACGTTATTTCCATCAGTAGGTCTATGATGAAGTTGAAGAGAAATGGAGAAAGTGGACAGTTTTGACGGACATTACTTAAGGTTACGAAAGCAGATGAAATTTCGCCAAAAGCTCTGACTCGACTAGTAGTGTTCGAGTAAAGAGTCTGCACGAGGTTTATGTACATCTGAGGTACGCCTCTCAATGACAGACACTGCCACAGAATCTCGCGATATACAGAGTCAAATGGTGCTTTAAAGTCAAGAAAGATCACCATTGTCGGACGCCGATAAGCATGCCTATGTTCTAGGACCTGATGGATGGTGAATATGTGGTCGATTCAACCACGACCAGGTCTGAAGCCAGTCTGATTCTCACGAGTTTGCAGTTCACGCGTCTTTGTTAGGCGTCCGGCATTTATTGAGGCTAGTATTTTAGATGCGATTTTAGTCAAACTTGGCAAGGTGAGGTCAAGTGAATGACCACACTAGGATCCTGTATGCGTGTTTCGGAGACACAGCATACATCAATTGTACGAGATTCTAGGGTTTTAGCTGAGGAGGCCCGCTGATCGATTTGACATAGGGTGCGTATGTTGAAGGCTCCAATGTGTAGTTTGGAGCGAGGTTTCATTAGCCCTGGACAGTGTTTCGCGCACTAGAATCATTGACCATGGTGACACTTGAGAAGGAAGTTCAGAGTTTGAAAGCCGAGGTAGGAGGAATAATAGAAATTGGAGAGGGAGATTAAATATAAGTACAGTGATCTCGAGTGCTATTAAAGGTTTGAGAGCGGTTATCACTTCCCGGTTGCCCACAACGTGGAACGGTTCTTCTTGAGGTACCTGAAAATGAAATTACGTATGAGGTGGTCTTAGTGACCTGTGAGCGTGACCGCAGTGTCCAAGGTACAACTGCTTGAGGTCGGTCACACACGACCTTTTTGTGAGTAATATTCGTGTTAGTTCCATACTTGTTGAAACCTTACCACCGGAGTCGGAAATCTGTGGGATAAGACGAAGTGTCCATTTTCAGGACCAACCTTCTCGAACCCCATCTTTCATTGTGTGCAGGCAGCATCGCTGTTACGCTGGTTGTCTGAAGGAAACGTCTTACTGCCGTCGCACTTCTGTACAGCCAGAAGTAGGACTTTACCCTCAGACCCTGGTTTTGCTGCTTCTAGTCTTACCGCTCTTCGACTGACCTGTCCGGCATGGTAGGGCCTTGAGAAGCGATTGTTCCAGTCAGTACAGCTCGATTGCTTCATCACGATAGGCATGCCCGACCACCACGTCAAGGTAGCAATAACAGTCGGACATCAAATTTCTGGTCTAGAATATCTGCACAACTTGCTGAGGCTAATCCAATCAGATAATAAGCTAAGATAATATTTCCTGAGAACTCAAAAGTAATGTATGTTGTTTCTAGACTAACTTTGCGATGATGTTGATTGGTAAACCAGTCATCCTTAGGAAATACCAGCTTATGTTCCTCATCACAACCAAGTAGTTTATAATTTTCGTCATTGAAATGTAATTAAACTCTGTAGGAAGCCTAAAACTCCCAGAACAAATATGACTAAAAATCACTCCAATTTGACATTTGTAAGTTGTTTAAACTTGAAGCCTGCTTCATTTATTCTATACATATTTATAGAAAGCTGAGTAAAATGTGTATAATTGGTGTAAATCAATATCACATTTTTATCGGTCGCTGGTGATATTCTCGTGACGTGTTCTATTTTTCAGAGTCAATTAGATGGTATGTCAGTCAAATAAAGGGATCAAATCCTGAAGACATCGCTGATGGTAGGTTTCCCTTCGTCCCCAATGAATCGGTTACTTAGGTGATAATTTTACGTGTGTCGAGTTTAATGAGTCCGGGGAATTGTTAGCTACTGGTGATAAAGCAGGTCGTGTTACGGTTTTAAGAATAATAAAGATGTAGGTTTTTCTTTATCTTCACTATCAGTTTTCACTCTTAATTAGACTGGATTATATGATATTTATTGCACATTTACGAGTCATGAACCAGAATTCGATTACTTAAAATCTCTGGAGATCGAAGAGAAGATTAATTCAATTACTTGGCTTCGAGCATACTCTTCTGCTCATCATCTTCTTTCAGCTAATGGTAAGTGTATGTTGATGTGTTTCATATCCATGATTAATTCGGCTGAAAATAGTGAGGTGATGTAATTTAGTTAATAGTTCTTTCGTCATTGGCGTAAATAAATCGTTGTATGTAGGTGCGTATGTAGACATATAAGCTTGGAAACGGATTTTTTGAATACGGAAGAAGTAAATAGAATTTTGTAGGAATAACTGAAGATCGGTTACAGTGATGTATCTGGATTCACTCTTGATTTATTATCTCTCCATATTTTGATCTTAGGATTGTCTTATGCCTAGTTCATAAAAAGCCATCCCAAAGATCTTGATTTATCGACATACACGAATTCAGTATGATTATCATTTACTGCATAGCTCCAGATAATAAACTGTCTTTCACCAATCTCTGATTATTCGGACTAGTTCCCTCTGATAGTCCCGAAGGACTCTTTATTATTACATGTCCCCACTGCTTTGAACTCTCATTACCCGTCATTACTCATGACCGTTGTGTAGAATTTTGTCAACATACCTGTATGTGTTGTATGTTAGTTTGTTGTTGAATATGTGAAAATATGAGAGCAAGCATTGATTAAGGAATCTCGTAACTAATTAAAATGAAGTTTTTACTGATACAAGCTAATGGTGATCTTATTCACTTTGAATGCCCATAAACACTTATAAACAACAAGTTTTCCCACGTAGATGTCTTAATCAATTTAGAATTTACTAGTTTGGACGTTGAGTCAATGACCTGAGACTATGCTATAACTAATAACTCGTCATAACCTTTCCGGATACTTCATCTTTGTGTATAGTCTATCGAGATTAAATGAAATTTAGGTGTATTTATTGTAAACTGAGTCGAGGCACACACATTAAAGACAGCAAATAGATAGTCGTTCCAGTGTTTAATCGACTCATTACTTAAATACTGTTCTTGTGGCTCTCATTTCTTAGTAGCTTGAGTTCTCTTTTCTGAATGATTATTTATTACATCAAAGCTTGCTTCAGTTTCAGCAAAAGTATTTTCTTACATTGTACCAACCACTTTGTAATGCTTTTGCTCTCTCATCTACTTTGAAAGTCAGTGTTACATAAATCCTGCTTTATTTCCTGTGAATAGTTTCATGTTCTTTTCATTGTTATTTAGATAAAACCATTAAACTGTGGAGATTATCAGAAAGACACTATGAAGCATATAATTTTAATATACGTGACGATGAGAATGCTAGTTTATGGGATGAAAGCTCGGATCGACTGAATATGATCGGACCACCAATTCCTCACATAATTACTCCAGATAAACTGCGTATTCCGAAGTTTCGTAAATCTCGTCATCTTACAATCGAAGCCCGCCCACGACGTTTTTTTGCCAATGCTCATGCTTATCATATAAATGCGGTTTCTGTAAATTCTGATCAAGAAACATTTCTTTCGGCTGACGATTTACGCATTAATCTTTGGCATTTAGATGTGACCAATCAGTCATTTAGTATGTTTATTTACTAATTTTAAATTTCTAGAATTATATATCCATAATTGATAATAAATGGACTTTCCCTGTATTTTTTAATCTCAAATAATCTCGGTCAATGTAGACCATGATTCGAACATACAGATTCAACTCAGGTTCCCTCACCACAATGTGAGATTAACCAGATATGTAGCAAGGAAGTTTAAATAATATTAGTGTTATTGATAATAAAACTAGATATGGGGAATATAGTCCGAAAAGGAATGGAATAAATGAATGTAAAGTATGAAATAGCGCCAAACTTAGAATCTAGGAGGAAGTACAAAATAAATACATCCATATCACTGAAGCTAATTTCGAATCATATCACAAATTTTACCATCTTTCATTTTTTAGGCAACAATTGCATTTTAATACATTTATTTATGCTATTCATTCAACACTTTATTTGGAAGGAAGTTAGTTCCCCGATACTCCTTCGTATTCATACTTATGTATAAAGTCACTAATTTTCCATTTTAAATTATATGTTATTTGGTGCTTTTTTACTGTACAGCTTTTATGAAAGGCAAATGTTTACTTTTCCATTTCAAGATTTGAAACCGAAGGTCCAGCTGCTAATTGTGGAACTAAAAAATGACTAGTGCTCTAGGCTCCTAACAATCGAAACAGAAAGCCTTATTTTATGTTTTCTGAAGCGAGTTTTTCTTCTTAATTACTATAATCATTTGATAAACATATGGGATGTCTTATATCTTCTACATAATTTCGTTTAAGTGTACATGAATTTAATGAATAGTCCCATTGCTTGATGAGTCAGTCAGGGAATGTGATACTATGCCCAGAGATTAGGCCCAGCAGTTAGATCTTGATTAGAGAATGAGTAACCTACGAACTGATTTTCTCCAACCGCCTGTGAAGTTTTATGCCCTGGTATGGCCGAGAGCGGGGTGGGTCCGCCCTCCCTCTTGAAATACTCTCACACGGCCGCGCGTATATAGCCTCTGCCAGGGAAGTCCTACCCACTGCATTCTCGTGGCGGGGGTGTTGTTTACGAAAATGAGAGGACAAAAGCGAATGTCCGGCGCTTTAACCGGATCCCAAACCAATGGTGCACATGGGCTCCAGTACCCTGCGGGAACAAGTAGCGTATGAACCAATTTTCGGTCACCGGCTACCACGGGACTGCATCTCCTTACGATGCTCCACTGCCTTGTGGGTTAGACCTTTAGGTCAAAGGCTCGGGGAGTGGCCCCCTAAGATAACCACCTGCTTCGGTATGGGCATCCGGGCAGTATCACAACCCACACGCAAATGATGAACTCTCTATATCTATGAAAACTACTTTCCTCGCTTCGAATAACAATCAAATGATTCAAATTATTATCATTACTATTGTTGTTATTATTATTACTATTACTATTATTATTTACTGCGACATTATTCACCCTCTTATATTCCTACTCTGTCTATACTTATTTTTTCAACTCATACAGCAGCTCGTCGTTGGTGGAAATTCGACTCTATCTAGACGTTCTGGAGTCACTTTCCGGTTGAAAATTGTATGTTACCGTCGAATATGAGTACTGAAGCAGTTTTTCTGAAACCACGTGCACCATTCAAACTGGCTGCCTTCAACGTTCGCACACTTATGCAGGTTGGACAACAGATAGGGCTGGCTATGTCTTTGGAAAGTCTTAATATCGATGTTTGCTGTCTATCCGAGACCCGTATTCAAGACTCTGGCGAAGTACTACAAATTCGATCTCCATCTGTCGCTTCGAAAAGCTTGTTTTACGTGCGCTTATCCGGGGACCCTGTGGCATCTTCGTCTGGTCTTGCTGGCGTTGGTGTCGCACTAAGCGCTAGAGCTGAGGCAGCACTAGTCGATTGGATCCCCATTAACAGTCGGTTATGTGCTGTTAGATTAGAAAGTTCCATCAAAGTGAGAAGAAATCGGCGTGAGAAACGATGTCTTTTCGTCATCTCCGCCTATGCCCCGACAGATTGCAGCCCGGATGCAATCAAGGATGAGTTTTACCACCAGTTATCTGTTCTTCTCCAGAAAGTGCGTTCGACAGATATTGTAGTACTAGCCGGAGACTTGAATGCTCAGGTCGGGCGTCTAGGCACAGAAGAGAGTCGTTTAGGTGGCCGATGGGGACTCGTTGGTCGCAGGTCAGATAACGGGGACCGTCTACTGCAACTGTGCACAGACCACAACCTGTTTCTGGCTAGCACTAACTTTCGGCACAGTCATCGCCGATGTGCCACCTGGCGTCCTCCCTCTGCATCTCAAGCCTGGACTCAGATTGATCACATCGCGATCAGCTACCGCTGGCGTGGTTGTGTAAAGACTGCCGCTCCTTTTGGAGTACCTATCTGGACTCTGACCATGCCTTGGTCTGCGCCAATCTTGCCTTACTTTTCAGTGGACAACGAAGTGACCGCCACCAAAGGATTGATGTTAGCAAGCTGGTTGCAACTTCTGTTGCAAGTAAGTATCGAACCGAGCTAGCCTCTAGGCTAGCTACCACTCCACCGAAAAGTATAGATGAGCATTGGTTGCAATTGCATGACGCCATGAAAATGGCGGGAACAGTCAGTTGTGGGTTTGCGAAACGTCCCGCTTTAAGCACTGGGTTTCTTCTGGTTCCTTACAACTCATTGAAGCCCGTCGGTCTACTCCGGGTGACCGTGAGTTTGACCATAAACGAAGGATGTTACGTAAGGAAATTGGGCAAAGCTTGCGTAAGGACCGAGAAGCCTGGTGGTCGGAGCGTGCTAATGAGCTGGAAGCAGCAGCTGCATCTGGTAACTACCGGAAGCTCTTCCAGCTCATCCGAGCCACTGGCAGCAAGAAGTCTGGTGTGAGTGAAACAATCTGCGAGGATGATGGGATGCCAATCACTAACATCCATCGACGTCTTGGACGATGGGCAGAATTTTTCGAAGGGCAGTTCAACTGGCCTGCTGCTCCGGCAACATCGGTCAGACTGTCCTGCCCTCCATGGCCGGTGACGACTGATCCACCAAACGAGGAGGAAGTCCGCAAGGAACTCCAACTCTTGAAGCGTTACAAATCACCTGGCCCAGATGACTTACCTCCGGCTCTTTTTAAAGATGGTGGTGACTTTTTGACTAAGGAATTGACGACGTTGTTTACAAAGGTTTGGGAACTAGAGAGTGTACCAACGTCATGGAATGAGTCGATAGTTGTCCCTATCTTTAAAAAGGGTTCACGTCGTTCCTGTAACAACTATCGGGGGATAAGTCTACTTCCGATTGCGTCCAAGCTATTGGCTTCCGTCATACTTCGTAGGTTGTTCAAAACCCGAGAAAGATTGACTCGCGAGGAGCAGGCTGGGTTTCGTTCTGGTCGAGGATGTATTGATCATATCTTCACCCTCCGCCAAATGTTAGAACACCGCCATACTTATCAAAGGCCAACAATCGTAGTGTTTCTTGACATCAGGGCTGCCTTCGATTCGTTGGACAGGACTGTTCTCTGGGATTGTCTATTGAAGAAGGGTGTGCCTGAGAAGTTTATTAACATCCTAAAAGCCCTATATAAAACACCTCAGGCAGAGTGAGGGCATACAACCACCTCTCTCCATTGTTCCATTCGAGCAGTGGGGTTAGGCAGGGTTGCCCAATCTCACCATTCCTCTTCAACTTTGCCATCGATGACATTCTGGAAACAGCTCTGATGAATGTAAGTAATGGTGGTGTGGATCTGTTGCCTGGAGAAAGACTTCTCGACCTTGAGTATGCGGACGATATTGTCTTACTGTGCGATAATGCCCAAGGCATGCAATCCGCACTTAATCAGTTGGCAATCAGTGTCCGTAGGTATGGTATGTGCTTTGCACCTTCGAAGTGCAAAGTACTTCTACAAGACTGGCAGGATTCTAATCCTGTACTCACCCTGGATGGTGAGCAGATAGACGTAGTCGAGAAGTTCGTGTATCTGGGTAGCTGCATAAGTGCTGGTGGGGGTGTGAGTGATGAGATCAATGCACGAATAGTGAAAGCCAGAGCGGCTTATGCCAATCTGGGCCACCTTTGGCGCCTTCGTGATGTTAGTCTGGCTGTAAAAGGTCGGATCTACAACGCGTCGGTGAGAGCAGTTTTGCTCTATGCTTGTGAAACCTGGCCTCTCCGAGTTGAGGACGTTAGACGACTCTCTGTGTTCGATCATCGCTGTCTCCGAAGGATTGCTGACATTCAGTGGCAACACCATGTCAGTAATGCAGAGGTTCGGCATCGTGTGTTCGGGCACAGAGATGATAATTCAATTGGTGTCACCATCTTGAAACACCGACTTCGGTGGCTTGGACATGTTCTCCGAATGTCGTCCCAGAGAATTCCACGTCGTGCATTATTTGCCGACTCTGGGACTGGTTGGAAGAAGCGGAGAGGTGGTCAGTGCATGACATGGTGTCGTGGCATGAAAGAAAGCTGCAAAGGACTGGCTTGTGTTGGTCCTTCACGACTCCCTGGTTGGGGTCCGAGAGATGGTGCTACACAGTGGCTAGAGACGTTATCAGATATGGTTCAGGATAGAAACCAGTGGCGATCCTGCTATAACCTTCTTTTGCTTTCTTCATAAAAAAAGTGATTGTATCTTCCTTAACTGGAAGATTTATTCTGATTTTACCTTTCCGTTCCCCATTTTTACCATTATTATTATTACACCACCTTGCATCGATCTCTTCGTTATTATTCTCTCTTGTTTTTTCCTTCCCCTTAAATTCTCATTGTTTTGTGTGGCGCATTCTTGTACAAATATTTATGTGTTCAAATAAATAAATAAATAATAAAATAATTTTCCATATTCTTTAGATGAAGATGTTATTTTATTTTTTAAAACTCATCTGGTCTTATCTCTTGCCTTTGACTTCCAATTATTCGGAGACTTAAGTCAATAATACGGTTTCGTGAGTAGTCATCGCTTGACCGTATAATACTATTGAGTGCATTTATCGGTTAGCATTCTGTTCATTGATTTTAATAATAGGAAATTTCGTCTAAATAAATCACGGCAAACGTCCTCCATAACAGAATGGAATCTAATATCTTTAGTTTTTGCTAAAATATTGATTGAAACATTGTTGTATGAGTCCTAGCGAGCTGAATTACTAACAATATCCTCTTTTTTATGAAGAATTTGCTTAAGTGCGACGAAAAGTACAGATAGCACTATGGATAATTTATCCAAATATCCGAACAGACTCAATGATTTATTCCAAAGCATATCAAACAAATATCTTCTTTCTTTTATATAGTTTATTTATCGATTTAATAAAACAACAGCCGGTTATGCGTGCATATAGTAGTGATTTAAGTATAGAGCAGATTTTCTAATAAATGTATATGTTCAACAACCTAGTTATCTGGAATTATGGTTTAAATCTTGATAAACTTTAAGTTACTTATGTACTTACTTACTTACTTACGCCTGTTACTCCCAATGGAGCATAGGCCACTGACCAGCATTCTTCAACCCACTCTGTCCTGGGCCTTCTTTTCTAGTTCCATCCAATTCTTGTTCATTTTTCTCATGTCTATTTCCATTTCCCGGCGTAATGTGTTCTTTGGTCTTCCTCTTTTCCTTTTGCCTTGAGGATTCCATGTGAGGGCTTGTCTTGTGACGCAGTTGGGTGCTTTCCTCAATGTGTGTCCTATCCACTTCCAGCGCTTCTTCCTCCACTGGGATCTGGTTTGTTCTCTCCCACAGTACGTTGTTGCTAATAGTGTCCGGCCAACTCCGCCTGGAGTCCCTCCGGGGGCTACTGCCGGTCCCAAGCCCGGATAAAGGAGGAGGGTTGGGCATGGGGTTAGCGTCCCCATCCCGTAGAAAACTAACTCGCTAAAAAAACGCTAACCAGAAAAAGTTACTTATGTAGTCATGCGTATATTTTTGTGTATCAGTTTTCAGTGTCCTCTCTAAAATGGCCAATCAGTGCTTATTATTAGTGTTAATAAATAACTATTTCTTGGCGTAACAATTAAAAAGTAGTGATAACTCTCGCTGTATATTGTTCGGAACATAACTAAATCTAGGTCTTGTTCACGTTTGTACTCAAACTCCAAGTAATTTCAACTTTATTCAGGTGAAATAGCATTTTATACTGACTTGTTTAATAAACAGGAATCACTGTGAATTATTGAGTAATGGAAAACTAAAAGAAAGTCAAAGTGATTAAATTGAATTTAGAAACTAGTTTGAGTGTGAATAAGTGTTACAGTTCAATTGTAATCATACTAAACTGGTGTACTCCAAAGGCTAAATAATTGGAGTTCAAAAACAAGGAATAGATTATTGTTTTCAATAAATTATTTTTCAAACTTAACAGTTACAAATCCTCAAATTGTGTTAGTGTATGTGGTCAGAATAGGACAGCATGTAACATTGTACAGTTTTAGCCACAGTTCGCACTATCGTATGATTCAGTGGTTTGAACAGGTTATGAATGAAAAGCCTATCATCAATAGTCCTGACTGCATCACTTTTTCTTCCTATTATTTTAATTGTTAATACTCTCGTTGTTTTGATTTACTGTTCTCTAGCTATTGTCGATTTAAAACCGTCAAATATGGAGGATTTAAGTGAAGTCATTACTTGTTCACGGTTTCACCCTGTTCAATGTAATATACTAGCCTATTCAACTAGTCGAGGTTTGATTCGGTTATGTGATATGCGATATCGTGCTCTATGTGACGATCATGTACTTGGTAAGCTGTTCCATACATAATGAATTCGATTTACGTGTAAAATGTAGATATATACATAGTGTAATGCTTATATTTTCAGATTGTCACTCTATGATAATTGAAATAATAATTCATTAAAGCCGTAATTTTTTTAAAGTGTCCTGAAACCCTGATTCTTTCTTACTCCTTAACTTGTGAAATGTACATGGTCAATGTGTGTTCACTAAAGGTATCATGGCATTAATCTTACATAATTACTCTACAGTCTCGACGAAATAGCGTACAAGTAACTCGCTACTATCACAGTTTTTGTTAGTTTGTATGTTTACTCAAGAACTCTTGTCTTGCAAAAAATCTCCAAGTATATGGAAACTCTTTAAAGAACTTACAGGTGACAGACAGTTTAGAAGCGATAACCAGCTGAATGTTTGTGACTTGAATAAGTCTTTTGTACGTCAGTCATCTGATGTGATGCTCCCTCTATCCACGGGTTTAAATAATAGCTGTGTTCCTACTTTCACTGTGACTGATGTACGAAGATGTCTCCAGTCGCTTAATTCATCTTGATGTTTGGGACCTGATGGTATCCCAAACATCCTTTTTAAAAAGTGTGCTGCCGTCCTATGTTATCCGTTCACAGCTATCTTTAACAGATCCTTCTCATCTAATCTCATACCGAAAATGTGGAGAAAGATTAAGATAATCTCTGTACGCAAGAATGTATCTGGTGATAAGAATATGAAATTTAGACCTATTGCAATAACTTCACCCTTCCCCAAAACAATGGAAAAATTATTGATACTTCCATTTCAGCCCACGATAAAAGAGCACACTAATCCGTATCAGGTTGCTTACAGATGCAAAAGAAGTACCTTAGATGCCGTTGCTGTTCTGCATCACAGTATAGTGTTCAACTTGGAAAACAGTAAGAAGTATGTTCGCTGCGCTTTTCTGGACTATACTTCTGCTTTTGATTCTATACCAAGACAACGTTTAATTAACAAGTTAATCAGCGTCAAAACTGACAGCCGGATAACCAACTGGCTATGATCCTACCTCTCTGGAAGGGAACAGTACACTGTGTTTGGAGGAAAGTGTTCAGAGAGTGCACCACAAGGAGCCGTTCTTTCACCTCTTTTCTCTTTTTCTGCATGATCTGCTATCTTCCACAGTAAACACTTTTGTGAAATATGCGGATGTTCTCACTGTATGTATGCCTATCTCTGCCTCTCTACATCCCATAGAAATGAATGAGTTTTTGTCTCGTATTGATTGTTGGTCTGTTGTTAATGGTCTCATACTTAATCCGTGTAAATGTCAGATTGTTAACTTTAGCATTAGGCGTGAACGGCATCTAAACTCCACTTTGGGATCCCATATTGCTTGTACCATTGGAGACTCTTTGATAAACACAGTGTCGAAGATCAATTTTATTGGTGTTACCTTTTCCTCTGATCTCTCTTGGTCTTCTCACGTTTTATTGTTATTGAAGAAAGTTTTCCGTCTGATTTACTGCATAAAAAAACTGCATGCTCTTGGGGTTACTCGTCACTTACTCTTACAATTTGTCAATTCTTGCATATTACCTATTATTCCCCATTATTCTTTCCCGGACTTTTGAGAAAAGACTTTGCTGTATTGCGGAGAGTACTGAAGGCAGTTAGCAAGGTGTGTGGTGAATCTTTCGAGGTCATAATTAATATGGTTGTAGATAGACATCTCAAGTCAGGCAAACTCTTGGCAGGTGTTATCTTATCAGATACTAACCATCCCCTTCACTCATATCTTTCTCCTTATATATCTTCTGGTAGAACAAGACGTAGTTACATCAAAATCCATGCACGCAAGCAAAATTATAAAATTTCTATAATACCTTACCTAGCAAACATACTCCGTGACGAACAGGTTGTTAGAGTTAACCTAGTCAATAACCTGCATTCTTAACATGTCTTGAATTTAGAAAGTTGTACAGTTTTTCGGTTTCCTTTTCTTTCTTTTTTTTTAAAAAACCTTTTTCATTTTTTTTGTATTTGTTACTGTGTTTTTTTCGTTGTTGCGCGAGTAACTTGTTGAATAACCTGTGCTGAGAATTGTATATTGTACCAAAATATAATATTGAATAAAGCCATTAATAATAAGAAGAATAAATAACTATTGTAACTTGCTTTATAAAACTTGAAAAAATTCAAAGGAGCTTACGTTTGAGAATATGACTTTGGTCTGTTATGGGATATTTCATTTATTGATTTTCCTCACCAAACATATCAAATAACCAAAGGTGTATTAAAAGATAAATATTTACTTGCGATTGTTTAGTTGTAAATCAACAGGCAACAATATCCATTAGTTTTTTTAAACTGTCATGACGGTTTTTCTTAATCATATCTTTTACCAAGGGAGGTGTTTATTTCAAAACATGAATTGTCTGTAGTCGAGTATTTAGATAACATCGCTCAAAAAATCGTAAGCAGAATAGAGGAGACACAATTACCCATTAATTTTAATACTATAAATCTTATTATTCTCATGTATTCTATCTTATTTTGTTCGTTATTTTGTAATAATGTGTTATGTTTTCACTATCACTGATATTCTAATTTCAACCGCTTCACTTTTAATTTTGTGGTAGCATAGTTCAGTATATAACTGTGGATCTATTTCAGGTCCAACTTTATTTGTGGATCAATTTGATTCGTTGATATGACATATAAAAGCAATGCTTAATGATTGTTTCTCATGGAATAACTAAAATAGTTCGTCAGTCTAGTAAAAATCTGTCAGATATCGAAGTTCTTATAAATTCGATGCAGAGGTCTGAGAAGTCAACTTTAATATTGGAACCCTATTGACATGAATTATTTACCTAGGATTTTTGTACATTTGGATTTCGGTTCGCACTGAGGCACTAGACGGGGATTTCGTTCTGTTTGGACTCAGCTAGATCTACGTAAAACTCAGTGTTGATGGGCAAAGTGAGGCTTAAACCCATTTTTTTATTAATTCAAACTCGAAAGCGCTGTTGTCTAAGCTACTAGGACCAGATAGCCAATAATTTTATATCGGATTAGAATTAAACTTCTAGACAGGCGAAGATTCTCACCCAAATGCCCTGATACGCCCGAGAGTGGGGAGAGTCAGCTCTCTCTTTGAATGCTCTCACATGACCGAGTACATACCACTGCCAGGGAAGTTCTACTCATTATCTTCTCGCAGCAGGGGCGTTGTTTACCAAATTAAGAGAACAAAAAGCGAATGTTCAGCGCTTTAACAATAACGACTGATAGATTACTTTTCTCTTCTTTAATGCCGGAGAATCAACTAGTTTGGCGGCAATCGACGCCACATCAGAGCCACTGTTCTAATAGGTATATGCTTCTTCAAATGAGTATAGTCTGTGGACCCTGATTAAGTTGATGCCTATATAGAATCCGTTTATCTTGAACACTGCACTTGTTGGTGAGAGGAAGGTCATCAACTGAACAGAAAGTCATCAGTCCGACAACCATAAAAGAAATAATCACTATGCAAATGTGTCAAGAAACTTTACCATCACCGCCTCAATCACAAGAAGCCCAACAGGAAACAGAGACTTTTGTGTTCTTATGGAACCATAACAACTAAAGTGCTTAATACATTATGTTTCTTCTCAAGGATTTTTATAGTCTCTTCGTCGACGTTCAGACTGAATTTTCTTTGGAATTCATTCCTGAATACCAACAATAAGTATAATACATATCCTTCCGAATGTTTGCCATTATGCCACTTGATTAAAGGTTTCTTTTTTATTTATTCTACCGAACACTGACAACTTTACCTGCCTAGTTGACTTTTACGTATTTTAGTGTTTGAGGATCCAAGTCTTTCACAAAATCTGGGATTTTTCGCCGATATTATTGCAAGTTTATCAGATTTTCGCTTCGGCCATACTGGAAATTATCTTTTAGCCAGAGATTATTTAACATTGAAAAGTGAGTGAAACCATAATTTTATCATAAATTTTATATCCATATATATATATATATAGTTTGGGTATTAGTAATGTCAGTATCATTTTTCGAAGGCATCTTGGTTTCCTTAGATTTACAGTTACGATGTAATTAAATTTGTATTGTGGCTTGTCAGCTGAATGTGGTCCCATGCCATTATTGTTCATTTTCACATGGAGACTCGAGTTTATTACCTGTCGCTCCAACCATCAACACTATCCAATTAGTTATCATTAAATAAAGACTTACGGAAATTTATTATTGAATATCAATGGCCAGATAATATGCAAACTTAAATGGTGAATCCCAAATATAATAACACATAAAGCAAAAAGGCTATTTCGAACCATAGGCTAAGGATACATATAATAAACATAAGTCAACAAATTCTCGAAATATTGCAATCCTGAATATCCAAAAACTGGATATTCACTTGGTGTTGTTTACTTGTAACTTGCCATTGTTATTTAGGACTGCAATTGATCAGTCTCTTGTTGGCATATGTGCATCCTGTGTGAACTGCCTCGATATTGCTTGAAGTCACAAGCTTTATAAGCAAAGACGGGTAACAATGGAATCCAGGACGCACGTTTCGTCCTACTCGGGACTCGTCAGCTGGATGTACCTGCATCTCAGAGTTCATGTTCACTCTGGGACTCGAACTCAGTACCGTCCGCTTCAAACGCCATCGCGTTATCCACTTAGCTACTGAGTCTTGATAGCTCTGGGTAGTTCCAAACTCCTATGAATAAGTTACATTTCTAGTTTTACACATCTACTTTTACTGTAGTTTGTTTATTGATCAGGTAAAATGGGTTCATACACGGTAGTGTGATTATCTAAAGTGTAGAAGTATACGTATTCTTGTTTAATTTTGTTGTCATTATAACACAATCAGTGTTGTAGTAACCTGATTGAATACTGATTTATCTAAGACAGCTGTATTGATAATTATTTACCGAACTGAGCTTCGAAGGTAAACCGAATAAATTGTTAAAAGTGAAACCACTAGCGGAAGATTGGCTAACAATTTGTATATATATGTATATGTCCTTCCGGGTTTATGGGACCATTTGCTGACAAAATATTAAATGAATATAACATACCTGCGAGTTAGGTGTTGGTCGACAATCCAATATATGCATAAGATAAGCAAAGGTTACATAAAACGACCAAATTTTTATTGATTCCAGCCTAACTTAACACAATTATTCGTTAAATAATAGGTTTATCAATAATGTAAGTAATTTTATGGTTAACTACATACCAAGAGTACTTATTCACCAGTCTTGAAAGAACAGTTTATTTCAGATTTTTTTTCAAGTTTAAAACTGTTCTCTTTTCAGTAGCTTAATAATTCAGATTTTTCTTTTCGGACATGAGCTTGGTAAATCTGACACACAGTTAGTATAATATAATATGATTGTATTAGAGAGTTATTCTACTTATTGTAATAATCACAGACTGTCGTATTTGTTTGTTCTTGCTACATTTTAATCTAAAAGAAAGAAAGAAGAAAAGTGTTTATGTATGTATTACACGTAACAATATAATAATAAAAATAAAGGTAATAATATACTCCTAAAGACAATTACATTTTTTTGATGTTTCATTCTCTGAGCTGGATGGTTTGGTCTTGGAGCTTTCAGTTAGACTTCTACCTGAAGTTTGTGCTGATAATGTCGTTCAGAAAGACGATGAAAGCTCCACGACCGAACCATCCAGCTCAGAGAACAAAACTCCATCAAAATCATCCATCTGAGCTACAAATCTTCACCATCTCACAATTACAACATGCATACCAAATTATAGGCATGATTAGGTTGATGCACAATGGATTCAAACTTCGCCTGTAGCTCTTCCAGAGTTACTGCTCGTCCCAAGCCCCGAGTAAAGGAGCAGGGTTGGGCATAGGGTCCGCAACCCCATCCCTTAGAAAACAAACTTTCTAAAAAACTCTAACCAGAATAAACAATTTAAACCACTTAAATTCTCCCCTGGGAGTTGAAGGAAGAATTACAACGCCTCATGAAGGCCGAGATTCTTCGGAAGTCACGAGGTCGATGCCCCTCCTAACAACCAGAGCAACAATTTTTATAGGTACATGGAACGTCAGAACAATGTGGGAGACCGGGAAGACTAGTCAAATAGCAACGGAAATGAGGATGTGAAAATCAGGAGGGGATCTGACATAGCTCCAGGTCACCACCTGGTGGTTGCCAAGACGAAACTGAAGCTAAAGAAGCACAGGAAAACTGGAGAAGTAGTATTGCAGCCTTCCTTTGAGTTACTAACAAACTCAACGAATCCAACATAACTCACCGCAACACGTTCCACGTCTTACAAGATCTACTCCGGAAAGAGGAAATTACCATAGAGAATAAATGGAAAGGCATCAAATAAGCACTGATTTCAACATATCAGGAGGTTCTGGACCACAAGAAGCATCATCATAAAGAATGGACCTATATGGAAACCCTGGGAAAGATTCGAGAAAGGAGGAACAAGAAGACAGCACTTAACAACGGCCAAACAAGAACAGAGCAAGCCAAGGCACAAGCTGAGTATACTGAAGCAAACAAGCAAGTGAGGAAGAGAATTAGAGGTGGCAAGAAAAATACATGGAAGAGCTAGCAACGACAGCGGAAGAAGCTTCAAGAGAGGGAAATATGAAAAAATTATATAACACAACGAAGAATCTAACAGGGGAATATAGTAAACCAGAGAGGACAAGAAGGAAAGCCAATCATTGAAATTCAAGGACAGAGGAACAGATGGGTGGAACACTTCGAGGAACAGTTCAATAGACCAGGTCCTTTGAATCCACCGGATATCGAAGCAGCACCTACAGAATTTCCTATAGATGTCACTCCACCGATGATGGAAGAAATCAGGATGACCATCAGACAAATCAAGAGCGGGCAAGCAGCAGAACTTGACAGTATACCAGCCGAATGGCCGAATTAACTGAAAGTATGCTCCACGTTCTATTCAGAAAGATTTGGGAGGAAGAACAAGTGCCGACAGACTGGAAAACAGGATACCTCATCAAGATATCAAAGAAAAGAGATCTGAGCAAATGTGAGAACTACAGTGGCATCACATTACTGTCAGTACGTGGAAAGATTTTCAACAGATTGTTGTTGAACCGCATAAAAGACTTAGTAGATACCCAACTTCGAGATCAACAGGCTGGATTCCGTAACTATGGATCGTGCACAGACCAAATCATGACATTACGGATCATCGTTGAACAATCAATTGAATGGAACTCGTCACCGTACATAAACTTCATTGACTATGAGAAGGCATTTGACAGTTTGGTTAGGAGAACTTTATGAAACATTCTTCGACACTATAATGTACCTGAGAAAATCGTCAATATCATACGGAATTCATACGACGGACTACAGTGCAAAGTGGTGCGTGGAGGACAGCTGACAACAGATTTATTCTAAGTGGAAACCGGAGTCAGACAAGGCTGCTTACTCTACCCCTTCATCTTTCTTTTGGTGGTTAACTGAATTACGAAGACCTCCACATCTGAGGGGAAGCACGGAATACAACGGACAGCTTGGGTGCAACTAGACGATTTGGACTTCTCAGATGACCTGAGCCCTCTATCCCATACAAATCAACAAATTCAGCTCAAGGCAGCTAGTGTGACAGTAGCCTCTGCATCAGTAGGCCCCAACATACATTAGGGAAATAGTAAGATCCTCAAATACAACACGGAGAACACCAACCCAATCACACTTGATGGAGAAACTCTGGAAGAGGTGGAACGTTTCACGTATCTGGGTGGCATCATCGATGAACATGGAGGATCTGATGTAGATGTGAAGGTGAGGATCGGCAAGGCAAGGACAGCATTTCTACAGTTGGAGGACATCTGTAACTCAAAACAATTGTCAACCAATATCAAAGTCAGTATCTTCAATGCGAACGTCAAGACAGTTCTACTTGGAAAACTACTACAACTGTCGTCAAAATCGTACAAGTATTTCTAAATAATTGTCTATGTAAGATGCTGAATGTCCTCTGGCTGGATGTCGCCAGCAACAGCCCAATATGGCAGAGAACAAACCAACTTCGAGCTGAGGAGGAAAGTAGAAAAGGATGTTGGAAGTGGATAGGACACACTTTGAGGAAATCATCAAACTGCATCACGAGGCAAGCCTTGGCTCGGAATCCTGAAGGTAAACGGAAAAGAGGAAGGCCAAAGAACATACTGCGTCGGGAATCGAAAACAGACATGGAAAGAATGAATAGCAACTAGAAAGAACTGGAACGGATTGCCCAGGACAGTGTTGCATGGAGAATGCTGGTGAGCATCCTATGCTTCTACATGACGGGTAACAGTTGTAAGTAAGTAACAACGGATGCAACATTACCAGTAGTCAAAATTTACAACCGCACGTCAAGCAATTGTTAAAACAATATATTTAAGAGGACAGTATTGTTTCCAATTGGACACCATGAACATTTACTGTATAATGCTGAGGCAGTATTTATATCGATATACGAAAGTGTTAAGTGAATCAAGGCAGCTTGTGAGTCAATTACAAAATCACAAATGATAAATGTTATGTATACATTCATGGTAGTATAATAGGCCACATGAAAGCATACGTTATTCTATTTTACCACACATGACCGAACGATGTCTTAGATTTTGAGGAAGAATTATGTAAGATAAATGACCAAAGCGATAGTAATCTCCCTCACTGCAACAGCAGTAACTTCAGAATACTTGTATTGAGGAGTAGTGATACTCCGTCCATATCGAACTCTCTGAGAGCTTCCAGAACCTCACTCATCATTACTGATGCCGATTGCTCGTGCAGTGTTTCTGCAGAGGTCCAGTTAATGCAGGTTTACTTGAAACTGTCTTTAGTGTTTATTCAACATTCCATCTCTAAAAATATTCTTCATCATGTCCGCATGTCTAAGAGGTGTATAGCCGACTCAAAGCATATTCAAAGAAGAGTGAACTAAATGGTTTTCACCAAGAAATAGGCCTTACTTGTCTCACATATATAAGCTCCAAATTTACAACCTTTGAAACACAGAAGAATAATGAGGCGTATCGTATGGGTCATAATGCTGTTCACCTTAGAAAGTGGCTGACAGCTTTCACTACTACATCACACACAAGTGGTCATCGTTTTAGGGTATAAGACGAACAAATGTATGGATACTTATGATTAGTATTCTACCTGATACTTAATTTATTTGAAATTGTTTAGTCGAACCTTGGTATTGATACGCGCACCGTCACAATTATCCATCTTGTAAGCACATAGTTGTGTTTATTGAGTATTGTTTATGCCTAATCCGTTGTACCACAACTGATATTGTCACTAGTTTCACCACTCTGAGACTTGTTTCAGTTATTTCACCTCACTGTGCTGACGTGGTGTTGGAGCGTTAACTGATGCACACATATTCCAGATTCTACGTTGCTTATTACAGACTGACTTGTAAACTAATGTATATTCGGATTGTAAATTTAAAATGAGAAAGATATGGTTTTGATGTTGAGTTCTGAGCGCCATAACCTCGGAGGTTCGGCAGACTGGGTTGGATTACCGCATGTGGAAGATGATTTGTTTAATATCTCGAAGGGAAAGATTGAACACACACTTTCACAATAAAATACGCACGCTGTTGTTTAATTCCAAACGTTTAAAGCAGTAGGTCCTAGTATGGCTGCACACCAAAGATAGTAAAGTAATTCACAGGCACCTGTCAGCGTTTCAAAACTATTATGATAAAATGGTTTGTCAAAGTTTTCCTCAATGTTAATTGTCGAGATGTGCGATAGCTCTATACATGTTGGTAGAACTGTCTGCCTCATGGCGATTCGTGGCCTAGTCTTCAGGTGTAGTAGTAAGCCGTATGACGAACATAACGATCTTAATGGTTTCCGTTGTTTATTATTATTGGTATTGTTGTGTGATATTGTTCGAGGTGATTTTAAACATCGTTCCATAGAAATTTAATGATAATAATGCCTAGTTTTCCCCTCCGACTGCTATCGCGTCCTTCTCATAGAAGCACTTTCTTTTGGTTTATAAGTTTCCTTCATTGTTTCTTTATCAACGTACAAAGTTACGGGTTAAAATGCTTGCCCAGTTTATGTGAGTGTAGTAACTCGCTTGCTACGGTTTTGTGTCCTTTGAGTTGAATCACAAGTGGTTTCAATTTACTGGGTTGGATTCACACTCGGTTTGGTGAGTGCGCCTTAACAGTTTCGTAGAGATATGAGCTATTACTTGTTCACACTTCATTAGATACTATTGGTCTAGCTGCTGGTTGAAGTTCAAGCTTTTGAAACTCAACCTACGTACTTCTGTGGTTTACTGGAAGCTAGAAATGCTTTACTCGTGTATTTACCGATTTCTTCACTCACTGTTTATCTTAAACTTTTCTCTACCTTAGTTTGGGATATGAGAATGGGCGATCGACCGTGTGAAATTTATTCAGTTCATGAACCATTTCGATCACAACTTTGTATGTTGTATGAAAATGATGCTATTTTTGATAAATTCTTATGTGGATGGTCTGATGATGATAGGTAAACTTTAAAAATATATATTTCTTGTTTCTTTTTATCTGTGCTCTTCCATAAAAATTAAATAGCAATTACAAACTATAAATGGTTGTGACTACCTAGTACCTACGGACGGACCATTCAGATACATGCATGTTTTTGATTCGTTGAACTTTTGTGCAAGTGGTTTGGTGACACACGTAGCGTAAAACGTAAACGTCTAGTCGTATTGACTGTTGAGACTTTCGTCAAATATGTATGTATTAAAGCTTTGACATACATTTTCATAAGGATGTTGGTCAGTGCTTTCGTTCAGTGTTTCAGACTAATGGTCGATTAATGAGCTTTCTCTCTGTGAACCCCATAATTAATCAATATTATGGTTAAATCAATTAGTATTCAACTACTGGATGAGGTAGTATCACTAGTCTTTTATATCTAAAATAGTGTTACTGAAGGTTGATGCGCACAAATCTGTACCTGATAAACAATTTATACACTATTTGTCTCGGGGTTCAGGAGAATACTATTAAATAATTGCAATGTTGGGTAATTATGGCTCATAAGCATATGTAGGTGTGACATGGCTCAGAATCGTTCGCGAATGCGCTAGTGTGTTCACTCTCCATCATTCCTTGAATCCTGAGTCCAGAAATCTTGTTACACTTTCTCCTGCCATATATGACCTTTCCTACTACTGATACTGTAACTACTTCTGCTACTCATGTACTTGTCTTGACAATGGTATCTCATTGTGTTAATGTGGTAAGACGACTTGCACCGATGCACATATATGCCAGGTCCTACTTTGCATGTGGTTGACTGAGACGTGTATTGAGTAATATAGTCGTGATATTTTGTTAACTGAACGGTCGTCCACCTACTGTGATAATGGGGTATTAGTGTAATCACAATTGATTGATCACTGGGTGGTGATCAATGTCATGCTTGTCTAGTCCTTATTAGTGCAGATCGAATGCTATCGATCATGTTGCAATGTGGCCACCAGTCTAAGTGACTCGACACTGCGGGCACTATGTATTGAGATTTAGATGGTGGTTGGAGGTAGTCAACAGGAAACCCTGAACCCGGGTTTCGTGCTACTTGGCACTCGTCAGCTAGGTGTATCTGTAATCTTGAGGGAACTGGTGCTCCCTGGCGGATTCGATCTCGTCAGACGTTACCACTGAGCTATCCGAGTCGCGACTAACCTCCTGTAGGACTGAGGTGTAATCACAATTGATTGATCACTGGGTGGTGATCAATGTCATGCTTGTCTAGTCCTTATTAGTGTAAAGAAAATAATTGCATCCTCACTTATTATGAGAATATAGTGTACAACTGAAGCTTTTACCAGTTCGACCATTAATCTTCCCACTATCGAGTTGCTTCACTAAAATAATATACGACTGTAAGGTCGATTTCCATGAGAATGGTTCGTTGATGCCCTTTCTGGCTTTCGAGGTATTTCCCGAGGACTGACTGTGAGATGTATTTCGTCAGATGAAGAATTGTTGTGATTCGTAAAAACCACACTGGTGAGTCGACAATACGATTATGTTTAATGATGAGATTTCTGCATTGACACATTCATTCAGTCAGTCAGCTACAACGTAGTACCAGGCACATATATGCATCGGTCCAAGTTGCCACAGCTCATTATTTGCACAACAAGATGAACACCAAATTCTTTGAAGTAGCTACTTCAACGATAGTAATATGTGAAACAAAGATTGTGTATAAAGACATGATACAGAAATGAAGAATTAGTCTGTAGAAAGAAAGGTATAAAGCAATTCGAATCTCACGGTTTAAGAGTAGACAAATAGTGTATACACCTACACCATTTTGATCGATTCCGAGCCATGTCACCCAGAGTCTCCAACCATTAGTTACGATAGTCGCGCGGACCCCAACCAAGTAGTCTGCACCTACCAACATGGCTCAGACATGAAGTCAGTTACATTATGGACTGCTGCCTTGTTTTGGTTTGGCCGCCATTAACTTTCTTCCGTCTGTCTTCAATGCCAGTTACCACCGTACGCCGTAGTAGTCAGTGGTTTGGTATGTGTAGTACGTGGTCCAACCATCTCAGTTGATGAAGATTCACAACCTCACCAACTGATTTTCCATCATTCCTTAATACCCTGCATCTAACGTCACCAATACTTACCTGGTGATCCCAGCAGATGCGAGCAATATTTATAAGGCATCTGTGGTCAAATACTAGTAGCTTACCAATATCTTCTACTCTTAATGCCCACGTTTCGCAGCCGTAAAGTAAAACAGAATGAACTGCCACGCAGTATACTCGTTTTTTTATTGATAGACGAATATCTCGCTTTCTCTATAGGTGATGTAAGTTGGCAAAAGCCAAACGAGGTTTTTGGATGTGTACAGAGATTTCGTCAGACACCAACCCATTAGGGGTGATCAGACTTCCAAGGTAAGCGAAGTTGTCGACGCTTTCGACTACTTCACTCCTTATAATTAGTTCAGGCCAGTCCTGATGCAACAACTTGCATTTAGGGGGGAGAAGCACATCCCAAACACTCTGGCATTGTTGTTCAGTGGTACCAAAAGACTCTGCATTTTATCAACGTCTTCACCAAACAGGACTATATCATCTGTGTATTGTGAGTCGATAAGTGGACCTCTTGAAAATATATCAATTCCTGAAAATTCAGTCGACGGGGACGTTATTTCCATCAGTAGGTCTATGATGAAGTTGAAGAGAAATGGAGAAAGTGGACAGTTTTGACGGACATTACTTAAGGTTACGAAAGCAGATGAAATTTCGCCAAAAGCTCTGACTCGACTAGTAGTGTTCGAGTAAAGAGTCTGCACGAGGTTTATGTACATCTGAGGTACGCCTCTCAATGACAGACACTGCCACAGAATCTCGCGATATACAGAGTCAAATGGTGCTTTAAAGTCAAGAAAGATCACCATTGTCGGACGCCGATAAGCATGCCTATGTTCTAGGACCTGATGGATGGTGAATATGTGGTCGATTCAACCACGACCAGGTCTGAAGCCAGTCTGATTCTCACGAGTTTGCAGTTCACGCGTCTTTGTTAGGCGTCCGGCATTTATTGAGGCTAGTATTTTAGATGCGATTTTAGTCAAACTTGGCAAGGTGAGGTCAAGTGAATGACCACACTAGGATCCTGTATGCGTGTTTCGGAGACACAGCATACATCAATTGTACGAGATTCTAGGGTTTTAGCTGAGGAGGCCCGCTGATCGATTTGACATAGGGTGCGTATGTTGAAGGCTCCAATGTGTAGTTTGGAGCGAGGTTTCATTAGCCCTGGACAGTGTTTCGCGCACTAGAATCATTGACCATGGTGACACTTGAGAAGGAAGTTCAGAGTTTGAAAGCCGAGGTAGGAGGAATAATAGAAATTGGAGAGGGAGATTAAATATAAGTACAGTGATCTCGAGTGCGGAAAGAAATGGTATAAATCATTTATCGAGTTCGGAATTATTTACTCGGCTTCGAACTAAATGCTGTGTAACGGCTAGCAATGACAACTTGTTATCCGAGTCGGAACCAAGGACAGATTCGGACTTGGGAAGTTATGGTTGGACTTTAAATTATTTAACCACTGAAATATCAACACCAAAATAATGGGACAAAGCATGCTCATTTTCTCATAAACGTAAATTGTACGATATTTTAACTCACAACTTATTTGATATCACGAACAGTTCTTCTAAGTTATACAAAATTTGTAATTCATATTATGCAAACCTCTACGAGCCAGTATAGCTGGATTTGTTCATTACGATAAGCAAGCCTGACCACAACGTCAAGGTAGCAGCAACGGTTGTGCATTGATACATGAGTTAGATTTTTAAGGATTAAACGAGATGTGATATATTTGCTCTAGTCGGTTCTGTGCAACCTTAAAACTCATATTTCTATCATACGATATTCCCTACATTTTATATACAGGTATGCAATAACGGGATCTTACGGCAACCTCTTTCATATATTTGACCGTCACAATGGCTCTGATTGGTTGTATGACCTTGACGATTCAAGCAATCCTTATAACACGAATTCTGCATGTAATACTGAGAGTTACTTATCACCTAAACGTTTTATGTCTCCTGATGATCCCATTGGAAGTCGGTTGGGTTTATCTTCAATTTTTGTAGCACCATTGGATGCTGTAGAAGCTCTCTTTCCAGAAACGACGAGTCAAACCAGTTCGCATAGCAGCTATAGTGATAATAATGATTGGAATAAATTTGACGATAGTTCGAACACCTCAGAGGTGTCACCTGGTAGAACAAAGCTATCTAACTGTCAATTAGAAGATCCCAACCCTACAGAGAATACTCCCTCAGCACCTCCAACAGGTTCGAAGCGTCGAAAGCAAATCCTTCCTTCTCGTGCTGATATTTCTACTGATTCTCATTGTGTTGTACAAAGTGAACACGAGAAGGCCCGTAGTTGTCACCACAAAAGTAAACATCGTCATCGCAACAAGCATTCTCAATGTGAGAGGATAGAGAAATGTGGATACGGTGTTAGTTCTTCTTGCACAGTACCGAACTCAAATGATGGTCATGAGTTATCAAGTGTCATTGTAAATTTACTGCCTGTCAAAAAAACGTCTATCGAAGAATTTCAATCAGGGACATCAACTGTCCCTGGAATGCACCAGATACACTGTCAACGTAAGATACTTCACTTATCCTGGCACCCGAAGAAATTCCTTACAGTAGCCCTATCAGGCAATCAGATGTTTCTTGTTTCAGGTCAGCCGACATTTAGTGGTACATTGCCTTCACAGAATGATTCGAGTCATTGCTCTTCCTGTTTATCTAAGTCAACTGACGATGAGAACAATATACCTAGTGGACATTGTGAAGCGAGATCCACTTTTATAAGAGATAAGGTAACTCCTATTTTATGCAAAAGTTCAAACGTGAAAGCTGCTAAACGTCGTCGCCGTCGTCATCACCAAGCAGGTAGTTCAAATTTGGTCAATGCTTTCCCTAACTTATCAGATAGGAGAGAAAATCACATCTCTGATATTGATGTTCTTCCTGCTGGTTCTGTGGTTTGTGGGATGGATTATACAACGAATTATGAAGCTGACCACGAAGATAATTATGATGAGCAACACACCTCTGAAGCACAACTAGATTCTGTTAGCTCTGATCCGAACAGTGAAAGCGTCCCATGTATAAATTCCTTATTTCCATCATCGAGAGAAACATTTTCAACTAATTTGAACGATGTTTTACATTGATAATGTTTTTCATACCATTTTGATTGTCTTCCTTACACTGTCTCTAATTTTTGCCTGACTTCATCTCAGGGTTGACATATTTCCGCTATCAATTTTTAAATCATCAAAGTTGTCGTTATTGCTGGAGGAGTATCTTATTTATTTTGGGATAAATGTACAATAGAACATACATAATTACATACGCACACACACAGGTAGGCAGAGAGACTTGCGTTCAGACATACATAATCTCTTCCCTGTACGAATGCTAACTCCCAATATCATGTTACGAGAATGCTATTTTATAGTTCTCTATTAAGAAAGATTTTTCCTACCCGTTATTTCACGTTGCAATGCCTATTTATTCTGAACTTGATTGTGTTTCATCCGCATGAGATATGCGTGCCTTTACAGTAAAAGTTATTGTAAATGAACTCGAAGAATTGTAAATGACTAACTGGAGATCTTTTCTATAGATTGTATTCCATTCCAAAAATATAACGTTGTGTATTTTATGTGCATTTCTAATTTAGCATAAATTATAAAACATGAAGTTGTTGCTTTTATTGTCTAAATTATTTACATCGCTTAGCTTTCAAATCTCAGTTTGATTTCTTCATCATATGACCGTTTAAGCACTGTGAAATCCAGTTCGCCTGTCTTTATTAGTAGGTGTTCGTTTCTATTCATTGACAACAGTTCATTGTTACCTCTCATAATTTATTCTAGGTATTGATCGGATTGCCTTGATGTTCAGTTTGATATTGACTAAATACAGTAAAACTCTCAACAACTCCATATGGAGTTACTGATTACTGTCAATACAGTGGACAAGCAGATAAGATTCTACTTTACATGACACTATTAAAACCGAGTAGTTTGTTCGTCTTATGTCAATGAATGAGAACACATACAAACTTACTGATACCACATTCTTCCTTTGTGAAATTCATATCAGGTCCCAGTGCCATAATGAGAAGTTTATCTAGACAACCGAAAAGACAATATCTGACATGATGTTCTCATGCACAACTAACAAGTAATGACTATTTTTAAATACATCCACTCAAATGCCAGTTGGAGTAACAATAAGGGTAAATAATATTTGCTTACAATTATTATGTATTTTTGATACATAATGTTCCCCATATTCCGATATAGTGGCGCTTATCCCACCTAAAAGATAATGGAACATGTAGAGCATCAATATTGTTCACTATCTGCTCCAACACCAGTGAGGCAGCCTAAAGTTGAAATACAAACACTGAATGAGTTTAGAATTGAAAGAAAACATCACTCCATCCATAAAGGGTACTTTCTTTCTGTCTGGGTTCTCATCACTAATTGCGATGTATATGTTGGAAAGTAGTCTAACTAACAATTGTAGACAGTTAATGTTCCTGAGATTGTACGTTCCCCTTTCATTCTACACTTCACCATGTTGGATGGTGTTCTTGATCAAACTGAGAAAAACACATTGGAAATAAGCGCGGGTGTGATGGTCCGTAATGAGGACGCTACATGGATGGAACATTGTGTTAGTTGCAGACTGGGATTTATTTCTTAGTAGACATATTCAAGAAACTGCTGGTGCCGTCTGATTCTTACGTGTGACAATTTACAACTTTAGCATTACAGTATGAACAAGAGACTTACTTTTGATAGGAGACTGAGCTTCGCAGATGAGACCACTTACTAAATCACATAAATGAGTGCATGGAATTAAAAGTTAGTATTTGTATTTACATGGAAAATAATCAAATTCGTTTCACAATGATCTGGTTTGTGAACATGGTACAAAATCATATCGTCAAATTGACATGGTAACCAGGCCAAGAATTTACTGTTCGACCAGTATATGTCTATACCCATGTTCTCCTAAACAAGAAACTAGTGTCGAATGTTTCACTGAAATTGTTCTAAATCTGACTTATCTATTTGTGGATTTTCGTCGCTCAACAAGCCAAACAGTTATCCACCGTCCACAATCAAGCTAAACGCAATATCCACTTACAACAAGAAATTGTTCACACAAAGTCTATGTAGTTTTGCTTGTTATGAAAATGACGATGACGACCATAATGCCACGGTACACGGAGTATCTGAAACTCTAATACGTTTTACTAGCTGATATTCGAATAGGTCTTGGAGTATAATCTGGGACAAAATGATACTTTTGTATGGACAAGTTGCCAATCAACATGTAACACTAGTCTAGAGTGCCTCGTCAACTACCTTCAACCAACCACCGTCAAATAAGTTGGGAAAACAATTCTAGTAAATGAGTAACACTTGAAGTAACCCAAACCCGTTACGTGTGAAGTGATTAAAGATTACCCACAAATGTACTCACGTGAAATCAGTAAAGTGATCGCGTTTATTAGAAGGTTGTATTCCTGCAACATATTACTTCTAAACTCAATTTTTCTGACGAACATGTTTGTTTGAACGTTTGTCTATATACTGTTTTGGTGTGAAATCAAACACAGTGAACTGGAACATTCTCATAAACAGTTTGAGTTTTGTTACAAGACTGTGATTGAGTTCTCATGATATGAAACACTGATGAGAAGTGCACTCATGAAATTGAGGACACTGAATACAGTGCTAATGATAATATTCTTATCACGATGTGATTTTCAATGTGACGCAAGTTTAACTGATTTTTCTCATATCCGTATTAAGTTTGTGGTGAGAGAAGTTTGTTCACCACTCCTTCAACTGTCCACTTGATGTAAGTAGATTCTCGTCAATTACAGATTAATGTAAACTGTACTCATAGAACTGAGGACAGTGAACGTGATCGTGCTGTTTGATGAATTTGTAAAATTTTCTCTCAAGAGAATTTCATGTTCAATTGAACATTTCGTTCACATTGATGGCTAGTTTTTAAAAACTCTCCAAATGTACTATATACAGACTGTTAAAGCACCAAAATGATGAATTTCAATGTATGAGTGATTGGGACTGTTACGGTACAAATGCGAGGTGCTAAATCACAAGTATTTCACAGTAATTCGTGAGCAAATATATATACACCAAAGCCATTTCGTAAAACGCCGATGCAAAGAGCATATCATGAATTTTATGCAAAGCTGTAAGGTTGTGTAAAGCAGTTGGTTTCCGAGATCAAGTTACGAACCAAAAATGTAGACCGGAAAACAGGAGAAGTTTCGTTAATATTATTTGATACACATAGTTCCCTTTACCATTGTGAAAGCAGCAAGAATAAAGATTCTAGCAGGATAGCATGAATTCATTTTATTTCGTAGGTTCTCGTCAGCTGCTTACAACCTGTGATATTTGAAATCATAATTACATAATGGGTTTAAATTGCTTACATGAGAGGGTTTGTTTGGAAGTTTTATTGAAGACATATTCGTAAAGTATATCATGGGTGTAAATGAAATTGATAGACTGAATATTGTAAATACATACATTTAACAGCCCTAAGGCACATCAAGCAAAATAATGAGGTGATGATTTTACAACGGGATAAATGTTCAGGTGTCGTCCTAATGAATACAGCTGATCATGTCACTAAGATGAAGTCAATCGTAGACGATCAACTGAGGTTCAAGGCAGATAAATACAAAAAGATTTGACTGATTCAACAGAAAAACTAATCACAGGCATGCTTAGAGAACTCCTAAAAAAGAGAATGATTGATAATTCTACTTACAACGATTTAAGACCACATGGTTCACGTCTACCTCATATGTATGGTTTACCAAAAGTTCGCAAACATGACGTTCCCCTTAGACCTATCCTATCAATGATCAACTCACCGTATCATGAAATTGCACGCTGGTTAGCCGTAAAACTAGAACCGGTTCGTCGTAGGTTAGCAACATATACGCTAAGAGATTCATTCCAGTTTGCCGATAGACTAAATCATACGAATGTTACCGACGAGTTCACGGTCTCTTTTGATGTAACATCATTGCTCACCAATATACCACTCTTTGAAACTATTGATATAATCTGTCAGAATGATGATCTCCTACCTTTATCAGCCCCAGAATTCAAAAAACTACTACTATTGTGCACAACGGATGTTCAATTCCAGTTCAATAACACCATATATCGCCAAATCGATGGCGTAGCAATGGGAAGCCCACTAGGTCCAATTATGGCAGATATTTTTATGGGGCATCTTGAAAACACGGTACTTAAACAGGCAATTAGTGAAACAACCGAATACTCCAGATATGTGGACGACACATTACCTGTAACAATAAACAACATGCAATTTGCCTGCTAAGACTTTTCAATGACGCTCATACTAACATGCATTTTACTATGGAACACGTACAGAACGAAATGTTCCACTTTCTTGGTGTTGCCATAAAACGTGGGGGAGACGGGACAGTCCAACGCTCAATTTATAGAAAAAGTAATTGGAATGGCCTTTACCTGAATTTCAATAGTTTTCGTCCAATTAGTTACAAGAAGGCATTGGTTAAAACACTATTTTACAGGGTAGAAAAGATATGTACCACCGACAAACTGGAAGAAGAATTAATGAACGTAGAAAAATGTCTAAAAGACAACTTTTATCCACAAAAGTTTATTGACAAATATAAAAGGCCCAAAGAAAAGAAGACGGAAATAACTATGGTCAATAAAATGCCAGTATATATAAATCTTAACTTTAAAGGTGATGACGTCGCAAAAATTATCAACAAGAGACTGAATACAGCGATAACCAGAACTTATCCGGCTGCTAAACTTTTAATTCTCTATAAAACAACATGTTCAGTAACTCAATCAAAGATCGACAAGCAACCCTTTCAGGTTACCGCCAACTGTATTTATAAATTTACGTGTACCTGCTAAAGCAGCTACATCGGCCGAACTGAAAGGAGAGCATATCTTAGATTCTTTGAACATGTTCCAAAAAGTCTTAGAACAAGAGAAAGGAAGACTCTGAACAGTGCAATTACCAAACATCTCCTTGATACAGGACATCAGGTAGATACCTTACAATCCTTTAGGGTGATTAGTAAGCAGCCAAACTCCAGTCTTCTGAAGTTTGCTGAAGCCGTTGCCGTCAGGCGTCAAAAACCTGACCTGTGTGTTCAAAAGGAGACGGTTGTTAATCTTTCTTTGGCTTTGAGTTGGACTAAAACGTATATTAACCGAAAAACAGCAATAAAGTTACTACGTCCAGAAGTTAATGTAGCAATAAACAACGCATAAGATAATAACACAAATAAAAGTTTAGGGACGTTACTTAAATCAGCAGGTTGGCGCGTGTCTTGTTGGTTTTGGTACCAGAACCCACAATAATAGGTAAATAATAATTCCAAAGAGACGACATGGCTCCTGTAGTATATCCGAACGTAGAAAGTAATGTGAATGTTACAACAGTCTATAAATATACATGATAGTTAATTAATCGTTCCGTCATCATATCCACAAACATGATAGAACGAGAGACGTATGTATAAAAGTGCATTTAATTATGAGCAGTTAACAATGTCATGCTATGTGGGATTCAAAAACAGAAGGAAGAATGTATGTATTCAAGGTCATATACTTAAACAACAAGTGCAATCGATTAATGATAAATGTACAGACTGTGGAAATTGGCAAAATAAATGCAAAAGATATGAAAAACTATTTACAAAATAGGTTAATCAAGTCTATCTCCACACCTTGGTGACAAATATTCTTTCGCTGCACCTTAAATTTGTTTTTCTTTTGTATTTTTTACATCATTGACTTTATTTTTCAACTATCTTTCAAATTAATAATCTTTCAACTGAACTCTACCCACTATATTCGTATCAATGTTTATTCATTGCGTAATCAATTGTTTCTAACCCTCTTTTGAACTGTTGTCACAATTAATGCTGTAGAATATTCTTTCATTTACACCCATGATATACTTTACGAATATGTCTTCAATAAAACTTCCAAACAAACCCTCTCATGTAAGCAATTTAAACCCATTATGTAATTATGATTTCAAATATCACAGGTTGTAAGCAGCTGACGAGAACCTGCGAAATAAAATGAATTCATGCTATTCTGCTAGAATCTTTATTCTTGCTCTTTTCAATATTAATTGAGTTGGTTCTATGATTTTATTGCAGCGATATACTACGTAAACGTGAGAAAACCTAAAATCCATGTAACTTAATTGACACCCAATCAGCAGGAAGAAATTGATATATGTATATATCAATATATGTATATATTCTGGAAATATTGTTTGCAGAATTTACACCAGTTTACAGGCATGATCAGCTTGATTTAAGTTGTGTCACTAAATGTAAAGAACAAACATGTGGCATAAGATTGTTTTAAGTTTACTAGTTTAAAAAATGTCTAGATAGTACCTTTATGTTATGTATTGCAGCAATGCAATGCATCGGCCGGAAAGTTTTGATTTTTATTAAGTGGACATCCCGTTGATTTATGAACAGCGCATTTAAGGTCGTTTCCTGTGCCATAAAGAATCAATCGTAATCTTCTGCAACGATAGGATTTGAAATGGAAACAGAGAGCACGGGACAACAAAGCAATAATTACTAAAATGTGTCAGTCATGTCTACTATAATGCATGTGTCATATGACTCAATGATAAACTGTTCATGTCAGATATTGTTCAAATTATTCACGATTACCAGCACAAAAGATATAATCAAAGAGTTGAACGTATCCACTAAGTCTCTTTTGTCATATTTACCTGTTAATTTGTAATAGCAGAAGCATCCATGTTGCAAGAGTATAGAGGGTCTTCACTGAGAACTTCTGTAGACACACAACAAGTAATTTGATTGCAAATAATCCCAGAATTCCCAGTAGTAACACAGACAGATGTCTCAATAAAATTTAACATGTAGTCAATCTCAGTACAACATTTGAAGTAATAAATACTCGGTACAACGACAAATTTCTACATAAACAAAAGCAGTACTTCTTTTTACTCAACCATGTACTGTTAGTATATATGGATTAGTATTATACGGATTAATTAACTATTTTTTGAAGTCACTATATCATATCATTTTTTCTTTCCTACTAATAATAATTCCCATTTGTTACTTGTGGTCATATACACTATTCCTCTATCGATTGAGCTTATACGAATCTACAAAATATTGTAGTTAGTTTTCTGTGTTAAACTGAATTATTTTATGAAGATTGTGCGCAAAATCACATTCATAAAACACTTTGTCTATAAAGGTTAGTGGCTATGCAAAATATTTAAAATACATGAAATGTAATGAATTTCCACTGTGTCATTGAAGAATAAATATAGCCAATGTATCAAAGTAACTCTGTTCTGTGGCGATATTACTTACTGAAGCTGTGTAATCATATTTGTAGTTCATCAGTAAATTATATTAGTATACTTCCTTCACAAAGAGAGCTCTTTATAATTTCATTTTCGAGCATTACTCTGGTTGGTTATCAAAGGGACTATTCCGAATTACTAATGAGCTATTATCAAATGTAATTATTCTGTTTTTCATATTCATCAAATGTATAGTCATCTTTCTCTAATAAACTATTCTTATGTTAACATTTTTCATTAGCCGTTACATCGTTGCACAACTTCACTTTTGTATTTAATGTTTATCAACAATTTATAACTCAATACTACCGAATGTTTACAATATTTTATATTCTTCAAGTTAACAATTATCTTTTATCAGTAATTTATTTTTACTTTGATCTGTTACATACTCTTTTTATACTTCAGAAAACTATATATTTATATATAGCTTACAAAATATTCAAATAATCAGGAATCAAATGTAATTATGGATGGTCAACGTGTGCGTATGAACAGATACTAAGGGAAGAAAATAGGACAGTACGATGGTTATACATAAGTTCATGACCTTTTGAAACGGGTGTATATATCGCTCAAGTTCTTAAATGATTGCAGTAGACTAGCGGATTTCTCCTACATTTTATTGTAGACAACTAGTAATCACTGACGAATCAGTTAATCACCTACCGACGTTTTAACTACATACTGCTTACCTTAAGATTGATACTATCCTCCAGTTTATAAAAAGTTCAGTAATCCCCAACTCCATGCCTTTATTACTTGAAATTTAGAGTTGTATTTCTCTGGAAAAATAATTGATAAAGTTAGTCTATCTGTCTGCTTTATTGCTTAATTAACTGATTGAATGATAAATTTACTGGGCCTTTTCGCATTTATTATCATTTATAGTGACTAAACTAATCTTATGGATCATTTGCTTTAAATTTGGTGGTGGAATGGCTATCGATGCGCTTAAAACCGATCAACGTAACGATATACTTACGAATGCTGCATCAATCTTATTTAGTGGTCTTGCTGGACGTTTACGTAAGAGTTTCTACTATTTCACTATTTTCTAATAACATTTTAAACTCATCATTATTTCCATAAATAAAATTGATATCTACACTCCAGAAGATTGGATAAACATGTGTTACGTTGAATGCCATCTCAGTGGTCTAGGAGGCCGAATGTCCTGAGTTCAATTTCTAGATAAGGAGTAGTGGGTGCGCATTGATGAGGAATCGCATGCTAGGGCGAAACGGCTGTCCAGACCTTCGACGGTTTATATGAAGGTTAGATGAATTTGTGGGAATGTGGTTTTATCTGCTGTGTTGTTGATTACTCTGCTTAAATTTCTGCATCTAGTAACTGTTGTAAGAGAGCAACTAGTCATTGGTTCAGAATTGTTTAAATAAGTCACTATTCCATAAAAACAAGCTAGTTCTTGAGGTCAGAAATATAAGCCAATATTTATGCTTTAACACAATACCACAGTCCTTCAGCAAATAGTTTATTGCTTCCAATTGATGCCTCACAGCATTTTGGAGAAACAGACTATAATAATTATTATTATTGACTAATGGCTTTATTTAATATTATATTTTGGTACAATATAGAATTCTCAGCTCAGGGTATTTCAACAAGTTTCTTATACAAAAACGAAACAGAAAAAATAGTCAAAAGAAGGGAAAAATGGTTTAAAGAAATCTGAAAAACTGTACAACTTTTCAACTTAGATACATGTTAAGAATGCAGGTTATTGACTAGGTTAACTCTAACAATCTGTTCGTCACAGAGTATATTTGCCATGTAAGGTATTATAGAACTTTTATACTTTTGCTTGTGAGGTTGGATCACATAAATTGTTTCGCTCAAATGTGTATGAGAAATCTATCAACTTGAAGATTGCTCCTATCACTAAATAACGTTAGCTGAAAAACCAATGAAAACTATGAAAATGTAAACAGTCACTAAGACCTAGTTTTGAGATTTTATCATTTATAAACGTCTCACTCGACATTCGCGAATCGATCACAAAAGTCAAAATCACTCATCTCTGGTAACTATTTGTCAGTTTATTCAAGGAAATTCTTTATAATATCTAGCAACAATTGTCTGTTCGGACAAATTGATGATTACTGCGAGTTTCATGTGGATTTTATGTTCAGCGATGTCGTTAATTATTAAGGAATAGTAATTCTGGGTTTCTATTTACTCAGTTCTAATGACTGTAAAATAAATGAACAACATTAATTACAGCTCCTTTATTACGACAAAGTATGTTTTTTAATTATCGATGCTTGGGCCTGTTTTGGCATATATATATATATATATATATATATATATATATATATATATATATATATATATATATATATATATATATATATATATATATATATGTTGTGAACGCGAAATTAAGAAGCCCAGACAATTACGAAAGCTATTTTCTTGGGACGTTATTGCATTTCATTTAAACCCTGTAAAACACATATTTATTTTTGTCCCTATCTTGTTCTACATAACATGAGCTTTCGTTCTATGCATCATTCACTAGCATACCTTTTTTTTGTTCCGAAAATATTGTAATTTAAACATAATATTTTGCACCGTATTTTCTACTCTAAATCCCAGTTTCGGGTATAACTGTAATTTTCCGAATTATCGTACGTCGTGGTCAAGATATTCACTTATTTATTCATGTACATTTTCGTACTAATCCGAATTCAGAGAATCCAGAGTTCAGTTTTCCAACTGTCTTGTCTTCTCTCACTTGAGCGTTTGCCAACCAATCAGGTTCTAAAATAGTTCTCTCTACCCCATCTCGAACTCACGCGTATTAGACTCAAGGTTAAGCCGCTCAGCCTAACGCGTCAAGGTCATAATTGAGACTAGACAGATCAAGGTCAAGTCATAACAAGTATCACGCGGTAAAAGCGATTCAAGGTCATAACAATATCATCAATCAATATCACTATTTTCCTCATCGTATCTTCATTGCATTGTCATGTTCCAATTTTCACTTGCTCAATTTTGCACGACATCCAGTTTTACCGTTATGATATTTGTCATAGATCTGTTTATATTTGTGATGCTATAAACAATAATAATCATAAATTATTATTGTTGTTACTTCCTGTATTAAAAATTCATCTATTTTTATAAATTACTTTTTTATTAAATTAGTTTCTTTTGACATGCTATCGATTTTATTTGTGAAGTCTTATCATCACTATGGTCGTCCTTATTTACGTATTATTTCTAATGGTATATTATAATGCTGAATGTATCTATTAACAAAATGTCAATAAAGTTTATACCTTATATGAAATGGAATACTATTAAATTGAAATGATCTGGATATATGTGCGCTGTTTTATCAACTTTATACGAGTGGAAATATTTAAGATTTGTTCCCTAAAAACTGTCATCAATAAAAAACTCAGGTGTGACCTCTGATTTCCTATTGATTAGTAAGAACACTGTAAGTAGGATCTAGGTGAGTTGATTAGACACAGACCAACAATGTTACTAAACAAGTTGAGTTACATGTGTAATACTGAATCACTTACAGCTCATTATCAAAAGGAAAATCTGTTTTCAAATATTTACAATTACATTTTTATAAGTACACAGTGCAAATTTAGGAATTTTTTAAAAAATTGGTCAAATAGATTATATTCTAACAATTCTGTCACAGTGTCAGTATTGTATAACCTGTTCACTCGAACTTCATCATTGTGGATAACCAGAAATAAAACCACTGATAACCATGAAGAAATATCTTTATTTAATTCAAACTATTACTGCTTGGAATTTGTCCATGTTTTCAATTATAATCGTTTATATAGTAGATTTGTGAATGTTTTCACTTTCATTGAAATCATCAATTTTTTATGAATCTTATCAAGTTATCTGTTTCTTTGATACTTTATATGATTAATATATATTCTGTGTTGAAATATATTTAATATATTTCTGATAAATATGTATAAACTGCCTGTAACAGTCATCATAAATTTGTTAAAAACAAAAGTATTTACCTTTAGAGACGATATCTCACCTTTTCTGTCATTTATATAATACATATGTCCAATAAAGCTTATGAGTTTATGTTACAGTAAAAAATTGTATGAATTGAGGGATTCTTGTTTTACTGATATTTGAATTACAACTAAGCTTCTATTGATATTGAAATCTGAATTCTTTTGTCAATAATATAATAATTAATATGATCTTATGTAACTGAAACCGAATATTTGTTACGTAATATGAAGCAATGTTATAAGAAGCTTGGAGAAAAAGAATGTGTAAATTCAACTCACTAGACTATTACATGCGAGTAGCATTAATTCATTTTAAGTAATCAGTTTATATAGAAAGTGAACAAATAATAATAGCTAATCAGATAGGGAACCATAAAATCCATATAATTTAGATCATAATTTACCATTGTTCGTTTTTATAAAAGAAATTTCTCATTTATTTACATCATTGTAAGTTAAATGTGTTGAGTTGATTAAATGAAAATAGTTAAAACAAAAGCAACATTTAAAATAGTCCGACCCACTATTTCTAATAATTTTTATTTGTAAGTAGGTTAATAAAAGCAAACTGGTTGTGCTAGTTTGAATGTTAACATGTGATACAACCAAGTCACCATGAAAAGCTCTACGAAATGTATGATACGCTTTTTCCTGATTTTCTCTTCTATTCACGTTTCTTTTTACTTTGTTACATTTATTTCAATACTGAACAACATGGTTGCCAATGACTACAAGTTATTTCAACAGTGAAGATTTATGAAACAGAATATTCTGTAGACAGACACAAGCTATTTATTAATCATATAATTTACTTAATGAACCAACGGATCACTAAATGAATTCATTGTTTCCTTGTTCTATTTGTTTAACATTTAATTATTTTACACAGTGAACATGATTTATATTCCTTGTTTTCAATAAAGAACAATTTGAAGGGGTTTTCACATTTTTCGGTTAGAGCTATACTTATTGGTTCTTATATTTTGTATTCTTGGTATCAACTTGGTGCTGGTAAGTTGACGACTCTTGCGAAATATTATTTTCCATTCATATATAAAACTTTTAATAGAGTTTGTTCGTGATTAGCAATAAGACCCAAGAGGCCTGGCTCGTCCTATTTTGAATTCATTAGTTGGATGCATATGCACACCAATCTTGATGTTCATGCCAAGAATCAAACCCATTGCCATATGACTAAAACGCTCGACACCTTGTTAACTTAGTTACTGATTCCATTTACTCATTGACTTGTGAAACTGTGCGTCCGAAGAGAAGGGCATTGGTTTTCGAGTCTGTGTGTCAACATGTACACTGGGATACAGCTACATTCAATTAATGAATCTGAAACAGGACAAAACACAAGAATAACAAACATTGTGGGACGAAGTGAATTCATTTCATCTTCAACACACGCATTGATTTAGATAAATAAACAAAATATTTCGGTAAATGTAATTTTGTGTGTAATATATATAAAGTCATTTAGTTCACTAGTGAGAAAATAATCGTAATTACTTCCTATATTCCTACAAGTTCAAATATTGAACAGATGATAATGAACGGATTGGTTGAAAGGGAGACCAAGATGTAATTGAGTATAACAGATATGTACAAAACTGTTATGATGATACTGTACAGCCTTTTTCACCCCTATTTAATCACAATAATACTTTCATTGTTCACTTTGGTGAAATTTTCATTTCTCATTTATGGTTATTATAACTAGGCTTATGATTCTAACACTATTCAATAGGTTGTTTGACCCCTTATGAAGACATAAATATTGAAACACTTTCGTTTTTTTCATACTCTCTTCAATTATGATTGTTATTGTTAGTATTATTATCACCATTAGTGGGATCACTTCATTATGATTATTTTTGTAATTACTAAAGCTTTCATTGTTTTGTCTAGTACGATCAAAACAGTTTTGTATATATCTGTTATATTCAATTACATCTTGGTCTCCCTTCCAATCAATCTATTCATTAACATTTGTTCAGTATTTGAACGTATATGAATATAGGAAGTAATTACGATTATTTTCTCACTAGTGAACCAAATGACTTGATATATATTACACACAAAATTACATTTACCGAAATATTCTAAATCGATGCGTATGAATTCACTTCACCCGACAATGTTTGTTATTCTTGCTTGACAAGAGTTTATTGTGGCTACTAATTACGGAAGGAAATTATTTATCAATATGAACGTCTTACATGTTTTCTTCAAATCACACTAATGGTAAATCTATGCTAATGTCATTACTAATTCAACCACTCTATCATTATCATGTGTTTTTATTGGCATTAACAGATCTTCACCATTATTGGTTTGTAAAACCATGAATGTCTATTATATTCTAGCTCAAATACCTAAATGGTGTATGTTATTAGTTTGATTATTTAGTTCCAGAATAACAATTTAATAATATGATTAAGACTTTATTATTTGATATAATTTTCTCATCTGAACTGGAAATTGTACAGATTATGTTTGAGAAATACACTGACGCATTTTATAAGATTTGAAGTTCTTTAAATCTTATTGGTAGAAGAATACATATTCAACTTCTTAGTGTATAAAACTACAGTTCATCCTAGCTATTTCGATAGATAATAATGTTTAAAAATCTCCATCATATTATATCACTAATGTATGAACGAAGAATATTCTCTTCAGTTATTATTCAGTTTGTAGGTGTCAATGCCAAAATGAGACTTGATATTTTTAAATCAATAGATCATTGAGTAGAAAGTTAGTAAAACAAGCATACATTTTTCTGATATCCCAATGAGTAGAAAATTGTATTTCTAGTGTATTATTTGAACTTGTGTTAATTTATTCTGGGTTATTTATTTACGATTTGGAATTTTCAGATGACCTGACCCCTCTATCCCATACAAATCAACAAATTCAGGTCAAGGCAGCTAGTATGACAGTAGCCTCTGAATCAATAGGCCCCAATATACATTAAGGAAATAGTAAGATCCTCAAATACAACACGGAGAACACCAACTCAATCACACTAGATGGAGAAACTCTGGAAGAGGTGGAACGTTTCACGTATCTGGGTGGCATCATCGATGAACATGGATGTTAGGATAGTCGGAAAAATATACCAATAATTATCGTGTTAAGTCTATGGTGTCCTTGGACCTTAAATGTACATTTCTTATTGGTCGATGTTTATTTCACTTGTTAAATATTTTGTAAATGTTGTTTCCTATTTTATGGTACGATGTGGTGTGCTTGATTGGTATATAAACAAAGTATGTCTGAAATAAAACGATTCATAACTCAGAGGCTGTGACTTGCGTTCTTGACTCAACTGGCTGGGACAGACTGCGAAGCGGGACCAATCAGGGCACTAGGTCGTCCGTCCGTGATTACGTGTCCACTGTCACAGAGGCGATCGATAAATACGCTGCTTATCAAACCCTGCAGTCCCACACGCGTTACAACAATGGAGGATCTGATGTAGATGTGAAGGTGAGGATCGGCAAGGCAAGGACAGCATTTCTACAGTTGGAGGGCATCTGCAACTCAAAACAACTGTCAACCAATATCAAAGTCACAATCTTCAGTCTTCAGTGAATCAAGGCAGTTTATCAGTCAATCATTGCGCTGAAGTAGAATACAAAATCACAAATGATAAGTGTGATGTATAAATTAATGGTAGGATAATAGGCCACATGAAAGCATACGTTATTCTATTTTACCACACATGACCGAACGATGTCTTAGATTTTGAGGAAGAATTATGTAAGATAAATGACCAAAGCGATAGTAATCTCCCTCACTGCAACAGCAGTAACTTCAGAATACTTGTATTGAGGAGTAGTGATACTCCGTCCATATCGAACTCTCTGAGAGCTTCCACAACCTCACTCATCATTACTGATGTCGATTGCTCGTGCAGTGTTTCTACAGAAGTCCAGTTAATTCAGGTTTACTTGAAACTGTCTTTAGTGTTTCTTCAGCATTCCATCTCTAAAAATATTCTTCATCATGTCCGCATGTCTAAGAGGTGTATAGCCGACTCAAAGCATATTCAAAGAAGAGTGAACTAAATGGTTTTCACCAAGAAATAGGCCTTACTTGTCTCACATATATAAGCTCCAAATTTACAACCTTTGAAACACAGAAGAATAATGAGGCGTATCGTATGGGTCATAATGCTGTTCACCTTAGAAAGTGGCTGACAGCTTTCACTACTACATCACACACAAGTGGTCATCGTTTTAGGGTATAAGACGAACAAATGTATGGATACTTATGATTAGTATTCTACCTGATACTTAATTTATTTGAAATTGTTTAGTCGAACCTTGGTATTGATACGCGCACCGTCACAATTATCCATCTTGTAAGCACATAGTTGTGTTTATTGAGTATTGTTTATGCCTAATCCGTTGTACCACAACTGATATTGTCACTAGTTTCACCACTTGTGTAGTACGTGGTCCAACCATCTCAGTTGATGAAGATTCACAACCTCAGCAACTGATTTTCCATCATTCCCTTATACCCTGCATCTAACGTCACTAATACTTACCCGGTGATCCCAGCAGTTGCGAGCAATATTTCTAAGGCATCTGTGGTGAAATACTAGTAGCTGATCAGACTCCAAAGGTAGGTGTTGTCGACGCGTTCGACTACTTCACTCTCTATAATTAGTTCAGGTGATGACGCAGGCCAGTCCTGAAGCAACAATTTGCATTTAGAGGGGGAGAAGCGCATCTAAAACATTATTGCGTTGTTGTTCATTGGTACCAAAAGACTCTGCATTTTATCAACGTCTTCACCAAACAGGACTATATCATCTGTGTATTCTGAGTCGATAAATGGACCTCTTGAAAATATATCAATTCCTGAAAATTCAGTCGACGGGGACGTTATTTCCATCAGTAGGTCTATGATGAAGTTGAAGAGAAATGGAGAAAGTGGACAGCTTTGACGGACATTACTCAAGGTTACGAAAGCAGATGACATTTCGTCATGAGCTCTGACTCGACTAGTAGTGTTCGAGTAAGGAGTCTGCACGAGGTTCATGCACTTCTGAGGTACGTCTTTCAATGACAGACACTGCCACAGAATCTCGTGGTCTACAGGGTCAAATGGTGCTTTTAAGTCAAGAAAGACCAACACTGTCAGACACCGATAAGCATGCCTATTTTCTAGAACCTGACGAATGGTGAATATGTGGTTGATTCAACCACGACCAGGTCTGAAGCCAGCCGTTTTTTCTCGTGTTTGCAGTTCACGAGTCTTTGTTAGGCGTCAGGCATTTATAGAAGCTAGTATTTTAGATGCTATGTTTGTCAAACTGATCCCTCTATGGTTGTTACAGGATGATTTTGACCCCTTCTTATATGTTGGCACAATCAGTGACTGTGACCGGTCAGATGGGATTAAGTCCAACTCCCAGATTTTAGCTAAAATATTAGCCAACTTAATCGCTAAAGCTGGACCACCATACTTAAAGACCTCTCGAGCCAATCCAACTTGAAAGGCTCCTCTTCCTCATTTCAGATTAACTTTAGCGTTTCGAACTTCAATTAGAGTCGGGGACCTAATTCAGTGGTCCATTCTGACTGTTTGGAAGTGGTGGGTGGTTGTCGAATAGCTGTCATACGTCTGTACAGTCAGAAGTAGGACTTTACCCTCGGGGACTCACTTCGCTGATTCCAGTGTGACCGCTCTTCAACCAACCCATCTGACATGGTAGGACCTTTAGGTACGTTTGGTACAGCCAATATAGCTCGATTGGTTCATTACGATAAGCAAGCTCTCTTTCCAGAAACGACGAGTCAAACCAGTTCGCATAGCAGCTATAGTGATGATAATGATTGGAATAAATTTGACGATAGTTCGAACACCTCAGAGGTGTCACCTGGTAGAACAAAGCTATCTAACTGTCAATTAGAAGATCCCAACCCTACAGAGAATACTCCCTCAGCACCTCCAACAGGTTCGAAGCGTCGAAAGCAAATCCTTCCTTCTCGTGCTGATATTTCTACTGATTCTCATTGTGTTGTACAAAGTGAACACGAGAAGGCCCGTAGTTGTCACCACAAAAGTAAACATCGTCATCGCAACAAGCATTCTCAATGTGAGAGGATAGAGAAATGTGGATACGGTGTTAGTTCTTCTTGCACAGTACCGAACTCAAATGATGGTCATGAGTTATCAAGTGTCATTGTAAATTTACTGCCTGTCAAAAAAACGTCTATCGAAGAATTTCAATCAGGGACATCAACTGTCCCTGGAATGCACCAGATACACTGTCAACGTAAGATACTTCACTTATCCTGGCACCCGAAGAAATTCCTTACAGTAGCCCTATCAGGCAATCAGATGTTTCTTGTTTCAGGTCAGCCGACATTTAGTGGTACATTGCCTTCACAGAATGATTCGAGTCATTGCTCTTCCTGTTTATCTAAGTCAACTGACGATGAGAACAATATACCTAGTGGACATTGTGAAGCGAGATCCACTTCTCTAAGAGATAACGTATTGACCAGATTGTCTGTAAATTGTTTTGTGCCAACGAATTCATATCCATTAGTGTCTACGGCCTTTCAAGTAACGGTTTGAACCTGTTTATCATCCGAGCAACGCATAATGCATAAGAAACGGGATTCGATCTGCATTCATCCAATGAATCACATTGAATGTGCCTTAATACCTTGGATCCTTCGACTACACTGTTTAGAGTAACATGCGACTCAGATGAATATTGGTGAGCCGGAAATTTGAAAAGAGAGGAAGACTGGGTTTTTCCGCGTTGATCATTGAGATAGGCATGAACTGAGGACCGAAACGACACAAGCAATCACAAAGCACTTTGCAATCAATAATTTAATTCCAGCATCTCGTGTAGATCAAGAAAACAAAAATATTGTGATAGACTTGCATTTAATAAAACAATTTTAAAGTATTGATACTACTGCTACAAACTAATTAGTATTATTAAATGAAACGACAGTGCATTCCGTCCCATTCTCTGAGTTAATTGTACACTCCTACAAGGAAAGTATACGTTGAGTTGATGATTATTTGGAGTGATTTGAAGGAATAGATGTAAATAACACAAAGTATATACTCGATGAAGTCGATTATTGATGAAGCATACAGCGCCAATGTGCATAAAATAGTTCCGACCGATGTAGAGTAGCAAGGACATAAATGTGTCATGACTGATCAGTCACCTATTTTACATCACTCACTGCACAATATATTCTCACGAATCTTCCAAACATTGATCAGTAGCCAGCACTATGTACGCAGTGCTGCAATGTAGTTGTTTCTCAATCAATCCGTGCACGAATATATGCCTTTTAAACAAGTGCCAACAATGCAAATGCCATGGAGTTATGCAGTTTTTCGGGGAATTGCACTGAACTCACGTATCTAGATGAATTCCTCAAGTATGTTGAACACGTAAAATCAGTGAACATGTGATATTAATCATATATGTCTGAAGTCATCATTGTTACAGAACTTGGGTTTCATCTGAGATGTTAGGTCACACACTGACAAAATTGATTGTGACCCAATCGCAATTGTTATTCATGGTCGAAATTCCACTGAATGGCTCCCATATTACATACATTTTCGCAATATGACATCGACACGTTTACCGTCTTATGGTAACATTTTAAATGACTTGCATGAGCAAAAGGATAGTGAGTAAGTGCAAAGATAAAAGTGAATGGACGTCAGTTACACTTACCATACTGGTGATCCACCTCTGCATCCATTGCACTTAAAACGTTGATGACTCTCTCAATAGGAGACACAACTGAACACCATATTAGTTAGGAGTATTTTCAAACTTACATCGCAAATATTCAAGCCTGCGAGCTTCGAGGCCTTGCACTTTACTCTTCAACTCGACTGTGAATTAAATTAAAGTAGTAATCTCGAAAAATAACTATCCAGAGCAAAAATGTTAATCAGAATGAAACAGATTCGTAACAACTGTGGTATCAGTATGTTTCTCATATACTTGGTGAGTTAGTGGTGTGAAAGCTTAGCTGAAAACTGTGGAAGTTTTACTTCATCAATTCAATGGAACAGTGTATCTGACACGCATAATATGGCAATATCAGGGAGTTCATTGTCTGAGTGAACTCATCAAAAATAACTATGTGAACACGTTTGTTTCCGTGTGGCATACCAATGATTTGAAATTGTTTGGAATGATAGCATTACTGCAATCCTACAGACCTCAGTAGTTATGGCGCAACACTGTGAGTGGAAGAAAGCTTGGAAAGTAGGTCACGAATCATGTTTGATTCTCTGTTCCTGGATGGAAACCGAAATTGTATCGTAAGGTTTAGATACAGTTCAATAGAAGTGTTGCAATGACGTCAGTGCAGTGAAACAAAAACCCATCACTTGGATTTCAGATGTGCACGTGGTTTTACTTAGTTTTAACGATTTAATGACTGATCTTACCTAGTGAAAGATTGAAATTTTTGTAAATGTTGTCAAATTTTTCAATTAGGTTTCTTGAGTTCGTGGTATCTGCAAAGAATGCGTTAGCCATGATAAAGAATAGTGAAAACACTGAGCAGGAATGCAGTACATATAAATGTAAGTAACTGACAGATATAAACTGCCTATGAGATACATTGGTTTGTGAAATGATTACTATCACACTGTATACAACTACGATAATAGATAGAAATATGTTGCTAAATAATGAAGTCTGGAATTGAATGAATTACTGAAGCGAACACCCCTTAACTTTTGTGTTGTTTCTCCACATGACTTGGTTCGATGCCAAGAGACGTTCTCGTTCCCGCTGCCATGATTACTATTAGAATATTGCACGTCTGATAGTGCTTTAATCCAGTGATCGATAGTGAATGGCGCCTCAAGTTGTTATTATTCATTTTATGTATTACGCATATGGAGGAATTGCTTGTCAACTAACCTTTCACTCGCTGTGACTCCAAATATTGTTCTGCAGTTGACATGCATTCTATCTCGGCTTTAGCTATGAACAATGAGAAACAAAATTACGACAATCATTTGATATCGACGAATGTGTGGTTGAAATTTTAGGGAGATTAAAGCAATCATAAGATTTCAGTCAATGTATTATGTGATACCGTCAAATGAGAACCAAGATATGTAAGCAACACTTATTTATTAACTCGAATTAAAACTCAGGCTACACTTGCTTCGGTGTATCATCATCACTCTCTCAGCACATTCGACATTTTCTTTTCTCAACTGGTAGTCGAAACCTGTTTTGAATATTGCAAATAAATACACGAGAGTTGAAAACAGTGACTTTCACCATTGGGGAAAATGCTGAATGGTAATAGAAAGATATGAAATCGAAAGCTGTTTGATCGTTTCCACCTCTAAGCAATTCAAAATAGTAGGTGAATTAGGTGAGGAAATGCAAAGTCCGTCTTATTCAACAGAATATCCTAATAAATGTGAAATTTTCTACACAGTACTACACCACAAATACACTGTTTTCAATATCACGTTCAATGAGCATGTGTTTTGGCGACAAAATTGATTTCAGAGATAAATAAAAGACTGTGCCTGCGCTAGTAATTGAGTCTCTGGTATGTACTCTACATTGAACAAACGTATATATGTCTTTCGTCTATAAGAAATGTCAAAATGTTTATCTACTAATTGAATGGGTAGTGCCATATTTACGCAATCCTTACAACCATGCATCCAAAGATTTCCACAAATGGTGTTGCCAATGTAACTTCCAACCCCCACTAAATTCGCCATTCGTTAACTTTGTTGAAACACTTACAGACATGCAGGTAACTGTTTTAGGCAAGTATTGTTTTTCATCGAATCTGGAGTGCGGTACGGCTGAAACTGATATCAGTCGAAAGTTGTAGTTGAGTAACGCTCAAGTTCACCAACTCAATACTTTTTGAAAACAAACCTACCTCTATCCTCCACGTATCGCGATTGACTGTTTTTAAACCAGCCATCCAACCAGCGAACTGTATTGAAGAAAACAGCGACATTAGTACTATGAAATGCCGTATGTGGTATTCAAAAAGAGGTTTCTGACGCTACTCAATGTTATTCCGACAAAACATAACACGTAAGATTCATTCATTGCTAACTATGAAATGCACAGGTTTAACAAGTGAAACCCGAATGGTCGGAGTCGCAAATCAAATACTATGTAAGCAGGATACAATGGACTTATGAATAGCAACACATATTCCACACTAAAACTTGTTTCAGCACATCGTCAGTAGTAAATTGTTGCACCTATTGGATTGAGATGATCTTATATGTCTGTTCATTGCAAGTCGAGTCAGTCCACATTATTTGGCTTTTTCAAATATGACAACTCGAAAATTCTTCACTTCATGCGAATAACTCAGATGTGTGTGTTGGAATTCCCGTTCACTAGTTGACACTATGGCAGTGATCCCCATACATGATTGACTATAATAATCTTGCGATAGGCAGAATCTGACAACTGGTTGAGTTTGAAAAACATTTGCTTACTTGCCAGCTTATCCAATTGTGTTCTTGCTTCCCATTTCAACTGGGAATATTTCTTCAGGACGCCACAACCTGTTGACGTGTCAAAGGTACAGGTGAATAAGTAAGTTTACTTCAAATAGTATTCTCATATGGCTGTTATGTAAGTAATCGTCTCTTCTGTGATCTGTCAATTGAATGTGATTCCTTACAGTGAATGGAAGCTATCGTGACGATAATCCCGAGACGGATGAATTCAACTTCTGTTTCGTTAACAAGGAAACTATGAAAACGCACGTATGTTCGATTTAGCCATGTTGATCGAGTGTTCCTGTGAGATGGTTGCAAGCTGTTACCAAGTTAGCATCCTTCCAAATACTTGCAAGTGTCTCTTGACTGTGTGAAGAAAGATTAGACATCTTAAATTATTTTAAGGATATTACGTCCAATGGTAATAAACTCCATTTATTGGAGAATGTTGATACTGGTTGATGTATTGCAGACCAGAGTGGAGAAATTAATTGTCACCTATCAGCCTAGAGACACACAGCCAAGTTATTCAGAGCAAGATTGCCAAACGTAAGCATTTTGAATAAAACTGCATTGAACTCACCATATGCTATGTTACTTTGGATAGTCGCGTTCCAGTTTCTGGCACTACTTTGCCGCAACATAGTCATACCTGTAATGAACAATTACAGACGGTTTTATGCAAGGAGTATGTGTAAATCAATTTATTGTGATACAAAATGTCAAGAACATATGTTAGAAGATTATTGCTGTTTTGAAATTCAGAGAGAG